AATAAAAGCTTCACAACTTAGCTGTGTAGCTCAGCTCGATTAATACCGTGAAGACGTATAAATTATTAGATTAAATAAATGTACATCAGAAACACTACTTTTAGTAGCTGGCAAAAGACAATTAGTTTATATCAACCACTCTATATCAAATCTATAAAGCAATTAGCTAATGAAATTTTGATTTTAAAATTGTGAACAAGCTGAAAGGTCTACACAAAGAGTCTTCAGAGATGAGTAGCTCTTCACTGCTCATCTATGGTGTCAAATGGATCTCCGTTGAAGACTACCAAGGGTGAAATAGATCTCTCATAAAGTGGTATGACAAGTAACTGAAACAAAATTGAACAAGTTTGACAGTAATAAACAACTAAGAGTATTGTGCAGGTTTCTGATGTCAGATAAGACTAATTTAAACACTTTTTGACTATCTCCCCTAATGCCAAGGCATTGACATGGTTATGAAGGGGATCGAAAAGCCGGTTTAGGTTTTAATTTTCCAATTGTAGTGGCCACTATAGAGTGAAGCAGGGTGGAATTGCATTGTTTGTCAACTGTTTTGAAGACGTTATCAATATCGACATCACACCTTGCATTTTGTAGATGACAATTCATTGAACAGTTGATCCTACTTGTCTAGAAAGGCTATTGACCAGATATTTCCAACAATACTAATCCTCTACACATTCCAAGTTTGCATGTATAGAAGGCTATATCAGTTGACGCCAAGAGATCTGAGTTGCATATTCAAAGAATATTTGTACAAACTCCGTTACTTTATACACTAGGAAAATTTAAGTCGTTGAAATCATCTATATATTATTTTATACATTCTTCTTGGTGTATGTTCTCATAGTCTTCAGAGTAAATTTTAAACGCCTTAGTTCCTTTTTGTTGGTAACTTTGATTACAGATTTGAAATAATCTTAAGCATTTAACCATAAGGTATTTTTATTGTTCTTAGCCCCATTCATATTACTATCAGTCCTCATAATACCGCTTCCCTAGCTTGTGATATTATTATCATTGAATGACTGACGTTAGTTTAACTGATTTAAGGTCAGTTAAACGTGAATAAGAAGAAGGCATTTTGCTGAAATAACCCACCTCTCATGATAATTATTATTACCATTATCACTACTACTGAGTGAAAACAACCCTGCATTACCCAGAGGTGTATAGTATTCAGAAGTAATGATTAGTAGAAATCCATAGTTTTTTTTCATAGAAAATCACTTAAGTACCACATCAGTTTACTTCAGTTACCTGAGTTTTTCAAAATAAACACATCGAAATCCGGTAAACTGCTCTAATAATCTGTTGCATTTTTACCCGATGAATTCGACTTAAAATTTATTAAAAGTTAATAAAATAAGTGAATGCATGTGTGCTTATGGTATGTGCTCAGCAAGTCATCAAGGGACCATTACAAAGAAGGAATTTGAGTGTTAAATAACCGTTGTATAGTACATGTGAATGGAAAAGCATAAATCTGTGCCACCTGACTGCAATAATACCTTTAACGATGACTGTTTAAGCTTTTGTATTCTTCTGCAAACAAACATGCATAAGTATACATGCAAATGATTGAACACTGAGACGTTTTCTTTAACAAAGGGATTGTGGTCACCTAGTGTGATGAACATGATTTTTATTGTGTACATAACCATTAAAAGATAATTTTATTTACATATATATCAACAAGATATTAGTAACTAAGGGTTTTCTGTTGCTAATTTATATGCTGAAATTCGGTGTTATTCAGGGGTATAAAAGCCAGTAATGACAGCAGCTAAAACAATATATGTTTTGTATAACACTAAGTGGAATAATTTCAATAAATACCCACATATTGGATCTAAGGTTATAAATGAACGACGTTTCTAGGAGATATTAGTTATTGTGAAGGGTTGAAGTCATACCTAAGTTAGATATTGTGTTATAAGTTCTGGGTTATCTTTCTTCGAAACATTTAATTCATCAAGAAACCCACCGAAGTAGTCATAAAATTCATGCACCAATTTGATGACGATTATACAGGATCAAAAACGCTGATCACCATAAATCAAATAAAATGGTTCCTAAAAGAGCTTAAATTTGTCGAGCCAAATTTTAAGAAAGATGACGATAAACATACTTCCGATGACTTGAAGATGCTCTAAAATGATACACTGGTGTTTACAAACTATCAATCATCTTCAGATGATAATAAACTGTTGTGATAACAAACATTGCACTGATGGAAAATACAGATTTCATTGATGCAGAGTCTCATGTTTAGGTACATTTGACAAAATTTATGCCTAACATTTATGTATTTGTAGTATATTAGCCATTTTTCAGCGAAGAATCAAAAGATAGTTAAATTTCATTCAATAAAAACTTGTGTATCCTAGTTAATAATTCAGTACAAATGTCAATTATTCATTAATAGCATAGCAAAGAATTCCAACTTCTAATCAACAAAGTTCACTTTAATCATAGTAAATGTTATTAAAACTGGCTTATCAATCATAATAAATTGGAAATTATCACTGGAAATATCAGTCATAATAAATGCTAACCCTTAGTCGAGATACGTCACAGTATTTCAAAGTTGCCGCTACCGCAGACGGTTAAAAATCTTTCACTACTAAAAATTTCAGAAATAGAAATATCATGTTTTAACAAAGTATACAACAGTCCTCATAAACTAGATATCTCTAGCTGTCTTACAAGTAGTAAATATACTCATTTATATGAACAACATTTTTTGTTTATTATTATAAATTTATCATGATATATCTATGCTTATCTACTTGCTGACGCTACAACATCTGAAGGCATTCGGAAATGTATAAAATAACGATTTTTCTTTAGCTAACTAGTAAAGGAAATTCCACTGGTATTTCACTTTCAAAATACTCTACTAACACATTTCATAACTTGAAAGGCGTAATTTCATCTGTATGTTATTTTGGTATTATCAAACATCACATTTTTATCGTTTACAATAGATTAAATAGATAACAATGATAAATTACTATAGAATGTGTATCAGCTGATAGTTGTATATTCTGGGGACTTAAGTTTCTGAGTGTAGATTGTTTTTGGTTTACACTAACAAGCATTTATTCTTAATGATGTTATACGACAGACTTCAGTTGATAGACTGACAAAAAGATTGTGAATGAAGCTAAAAGTTCAGTTCATACCGGTAACACTAATGATTTCAGTTTGAACGCCTTGATAATCAAGATTTTTCTAATTAAAACATTTATTTCGTTCAAGAATAAGCTAGTTACCTCTCCAAAAACTTTGTCTGCTTCTGGCTGTCAAAAACTGAACTGGCTTGGGAGTATTTTGAATTAATTTTTGACGACATTTATAAATGTATGTAAATAAATGAAGTAAAATCGGTGAGAGGGATAAAAAGAAGCCTAGGTGAAACCCAAACAAAAGACAAAATAAACTGTAGATTAGTTATTTTGATCTTCGATTTAGTCGTCCTACTTTGTATCTACTCTAAACCTTTGTCTTTTTATAACCTTTCATGTAAATGAGTGTTTGATCATATTGTTTAAAATGTGTTGCACAAATACATTACATAATACACATAGATTACGTCTTCTTACTGTTTTATTGAAGTTCAAAAAAGGGAAGTAGGATTAAGTGTTGATTTCACTACAAAAGTAACACATGAAGTTCACGCGGCAAAATCGTAATCAAATACACTTAAGATACTGGGATCAGTTTTGAATCTCAATATACAAGATCACTAGCCATCAGTTCATTTCTAGAAGTACGATGACCCATTTGAAACTTCTTATTAACAGATTTCTCGGTCCATCTTGACATTACTCACAGCCAACTAGTTTTTCACCAGGCAAAACTGTAGTGTCCAGAAGGGTTTCTGATGAAATCCATCTATCAGGTGGTGTAATCTCTGACAAGAAAGTGTGATGTTTTGATGTATGTTTCATTCCTTGGAACCGAAAAGCACATTAACATTTATAGCTCATAGTGGCAGTATTTAGTTGTATGGACTATTGCTTTTGTTTGAATTTGAGAACCCTGAGAATTCACCCATCCAATGCTTGCAATATTAACAAATAGGAGAGATATGAGGCTGGTTGGAGAGAAAACACATTGTTTCTTAAGCCCTCTTAACATCCTGGAAATCTTCTGAATAATGTTACTGTAGTCAGCACTACTCTTAGTTCAACCTAATTACTTGGTGAGACAAACATTTACTTGCCTAATCAAAAATATATAAGGCAGGTGATAACTGGATGGTTAATAAAATAATTTTTTCAAGAAAAACATGGGCAGTCTCATTCATCGAATGAACGAAAAGTACTCGAGGCTAAAAATATACAGTTTTAGGAAGTATCTTCTTAAACTTTACACCTGTACTTAAATTAGCCTAGATAGTACACAGACGAGTTATCGAGTATACCGTGCGTAACTTTGACAAATTTATGATGAGTTAAACATTTTCATGAGTTGGCTGAAGTTGAAAATATTGTTTGGGAAGCTGACTTCATATTTCATTATGCTGACAGACATCCAACAGTAGTGTTTCTTCTCGTGACATATATAAAGACTACAAACTGCTTCTTTGCACTATTTCGAAATTTTCATTCTGTAAAAATCAAGCCACGTAATACCAGCTGACCGTCTAGCTATGATGGATGCAAACTGATTCCCAACATGTAAATTCTTATTTATTTTGTCGCTTACATTTTTGTCTTTTATTTTAGGAAGTTACTTTTAGGAAGTTACTTGTAATTAGTTTTGTCGAAATACACGTTTTCTACCTCTTGTAAATGGTTTTGAAATTTTTGTAAATGACACCTTAATATAAACACTTTTGTGAGAACAGAATGATTAATTGACTCCTTTTACAGCTTCAACCAATGAATATGAGATATTTTCACTAATAAATCCAATTGGATATAGGTGCCTAAAGTGCAAGAAGGCTTATGGCTTACATTTAAAATATTTTGTATATCAACGCATTTATGCATAATCTCGCAAACACATATGCATTCATATGATATAACTGAACAACAAGTGATCTTGTCACCTAATTCAAGTATACTGAACATTTGACGGGGAATTTAAGCTGAATTCTTCTCTTACTTCCTCCACTTTCTACTTTCTCATCTTATCGTTAACTTTGTTGCAATCAAATTATTAAGTTGTAAATTTATTTCGGCGCATTAAATGAACGTATAGAAAGTTCACTCGTAAACAAACGTCAAAAAAGGAATAGAAAGAAAAGGAATCAAGAAATTACATAATTTGAAGAAAAGGTAAAACCACCAATACTTGCCTGAAAATATCTTCCTTCTTTAATATTTCATCAGTATTCTTAAAACAAAAGACGTCAAAGTGAAAATCACTTCGTCCACTAATCGAATGGTTGGAATCTATTCTGAGTGATCAAAACAAAAATCGGCTTATCAGTATACTTATTAACTAAGTTGAAAAGTTGAATGAATTTCTTTTCCACTGTGAAATGCTAAATACTTTGGAACATTCTGCAAGAGAAACCCTGAAAATATCTTCTCAGTTGTCCAATATACAAATATAAATACTGAAGAAAAGTGGTGAGTTGAAATCATTATTCTTTGTTGCTTGTTTTAGCTTTCATGATTTACGGTTATAGTGTTCCTTAAGTTTTTAACAATCTATACGCTTATGCTGATTTACCAAGTGTTATGAAGCATTTTTTACACCACGAATACTTATTCGGTTGATTTTTAAGTCGACGCGTCTTATGAAAGAGGGATAAAGTCAGAACATCTTGAAACAAAACGACTGGCTTTTGTTCAAATGATACACTAGATCATATTCTCATAACCGACTAGGGCTTTTTGGAAGAGGGATACAGTAGAAAGTTTTGACTAAAATTTGGAGGAAGGCAGGCTACGAAAGTCAAACGTTCAACGGTTGAGGAGAAACCAACCTGCATTTGTTTTCCGTTTATAGAGAGTAAAATTTACATAAAAAGCAATAGAGGAAATAGATGGATACTAAAACCTTGAGATACGGTTACCCTTTTCTTGTTCGACCTTTTCAAGGTAGCCCATAGAGATGTTATCCACTGGTTGTGGAAGCTGACGTTCAACCGGTGGGTTGGGGGTTCGAACATCGCCCTACCTACCGAAGTCTGGGCAAGCAGATAGTATTATTGACCCTCACACAACAGATATGTCTTGTTGCCTACCGCACGAATGTGCACGTGGTTTCTGAGTGCACTTCAAGGCAACCGAATGTGTACTATGGCCTAAGTGTGGAGATATTTTATCATCAATATGTTCTTTAACTGATAAAGAAACACAAATAGTAGTCTAGTGTCTAGCTCATACGTTTTAACGTATAGGAGATATAAAAATAAACAGACCTTCCTGTTTTTTTTGTTGATAAACTGAAGAGATGTAACAAACTTCCGTGAACATTTCATGTCTGTCCTTGAACAGTCATTACCCCGAATTAGTCAAAGTCGCTGCTGTCGTTAACCTTTAAGAAGTATTTTAGAATTTTATTCTGAATCACATAGTTTAGACAATTAAGTCATCAATGAAGTATGTAATCCACTTTGTTTGAACGAAATTTTACAGAAACAATCCTCAAGTTCACCAGTCATTTGCCGAACTTCAGCGCTGAAGCTTTTTAATCTGATTTAGTATTTTTATATGGTAGATAAAAGATCTAATTGGTGGGATATGCGTGAATATAAACTGTTTTTGAAAATGATACTCGCTGAGGTCAATAAATAAACTTCTGATAGAGTCATCATTTAAAAGGAAATAGAAAACCTGGATTATGACAGGACTCAAAGTAAAGGCACTTGAACCACCAGCCTGGAGCTTTACCAACTTAGCTAAGAGACCTAACTGCAAATTATATCTTAAATTTAAAAAAATCCCAGTTGCTGAATTAAGGATCTGACTAACAGTTGGGCATTGTATTTCATTTGATAGAAACCCAAATCATTAATCAGGAAGCTATCAGTTGGAATCCTGCTATGACTAGAGTTTTCTTCTCACCTTCGGTCATCTTGAATGGACAACTCCAGTCTACTTATCTTCCATCACCTGAGATAGTCTCATCCATAATTTTCGTCAAATTGTTATGACACTATATAATGCAGTAGTTATTGCAAATAATTTATTGACTGGTAATAATCATGTTAACTTAGATTATTTATTAACAAAACAAAGATAAACTTCAGATTGTATAAAATACTTTTATCATAACAAAACAGCCAACTTACGAATTGATCTTTAGACAGTAACTACAATCATACCGTAGTTTTGATTCAACTGTTGTTGTTAACACTCTCTAAAATTAACAGCCTAAGAGCTCAAAGTAATTAAATAGCTGAATTATTTTAGAATAGTTCATCAAAAACTAGACCTCAATTTGAACAGTTAGATTAGGATATGAAGTGTTTGGGTGGAAACTAAAAATATCGTCTGATTCATTTAGAATATTCAAGAAATGTCATGCGAAACATATATCTCCTTCAAAAAGGTTAGAATATGACAGAAAGTGTAAAAGGATTTTATAGTTTGTCCTAGCAACAAATGCATTTCTCCTAATTTGCTAAATTGGGCTGCTAAGTAACAGACAGTTATAAAAAGTCCTTCACTGTAGGCAATTTTATACTGAAATCCTACTTTGTTTTATTATACTACAGTTATCAGTGTTACCATCTCATCTACGAAACTGAATCTCACACTTTGGAAGCTGTATAAATAAAAAAAATTATCTTTTCAAATGATACCATTGTATTTCAGTATGCTGTAAGACTGTAGTGTTTTGTAATTTCAGAGAAAGCGTTTTACGCAGTTATGAAGAGGGTGAACAGCTAAATAATAAAAACGATTTGTTAACTGTTTTTCTTCTATCCAGTTCAGTGATTTTCTTATTTTCAGTGTGCAACATCATTTATACTTTAAGTCATCATAACAACTGAATATCTAAAACAAATGCTTAAATGAAACTGGAGTAAAACGGAAACTTTATAAACGTTTTAACGAGTATTACAGTTTTAGTTAATGCCATATTTTCATTCATCTTAAACATACCGAATATGAGAGATATTCCAATAAAATGGTATAAGAAAGACAGTGGATTCTTTTGTAAACTTTACAATACTTTGTTGTACTACATATTTTACCTCCCGATATATTGTTCACAGTTAAAAGAATAAAAGCTTTACACCGAACTACCAGACTCTTCTGGGTTTCTTCTCCTTCTTAAAGGTAGAATGAACTCTGATGGCAGTAGTTTCCGATTTGTTTAGTTGGTTTGCACAAAAAGGAAGTATTCTTGATACAGCAATTGTATGAAAGCATGTTTCTACTTTTAGCATTAAAGATACTCAGTAATTAGTTCATACTTTCTGTATACAACCCAATTTCAATGGCTTATCAATGTCTAACAGGCTAGTACACGAACCTACGTAAGCAAGGCTATTCTGTTCTCGAAATGGACTGTGTTAAAAACCCTCAGAAATAGTTGGGTAGCTTTATATACATAATAAATGTAACTTGTCTCCTGTCTAAAACAGGCACTTATAATGCATTTGTTTATTTATTTATTCATTTCAGAAGCCACTGCGCACTACACTGCATACTCCTCTGCATGATACTACTTCACGTTTCATTACGAACCAAAAGCAGAACATCAGAACGGTGATTTCCTTATTTTGAAGCATCAAGACTGAAAGAATAACGGACTACAATGAACTATCAAGGATACCATGAAAACAAAATGAAGTCCAGTCAATATACACAAAGAATCGAACAATACCCAAACCCGTATGAAAACCATTGTGGTTACTCTGAAGTATACTATGATACTGAAAAACATCAGCATATACTTCCTTCTCAGTACCAACCACCTGCAGTGACTCACTATCCGCATTCCCTGAAACTGAAACGCAGTTGTCACAATACAAAGTGTCGTTACTGTTTTCCAGATACCTGTAACAATGTGTTAACTCAATTCGATCTAGAGAGTAAATCATCGTCAAGTGAATCAGCCTCTCAGATAGTAACTAGAAACTCTGTGAATAATCACAACAGTTATAAGAAATTCCTTGAGCAAAAAAGTAGACCAACTTGTGTCATACAAGAAGAGATTGAATGCGATGAAACTCAAATGGATGAAGAAAAAGGACGACGAATAGTGGGCCAGTATACAGAGGAAATGATCCCTGTATATAGAGAAATTAGAGTTAATACACCCGTAGTGCAGCATATTACACCGTCTAACATCATCGATAATAACCTACCTGTTATGCATAATAACACTTATCATACAGAAGATCGTAGAGATGTGTACTGGTCAAATAAACAAGTCCCACTTAGTGTTTGCACTAATGGCAATAGTAGTATCGGTAGTAGTAATTATAATAATGGCCCCACTGTGGTTAAAAACAGGCAAAGAGATTCATTCAATCAAAGCAATTGTGAGTTTTGCTGTTTACAAAATATCTTTTAGATATTCTTTTTTAAAATCTCTTCTAAACTTAAATGGAGATTTTTATGGAGATAACGAATAGTAGCCACAACCAACAACTAACCAAATGATGTATTTATAAGGTGTATCTATATGAAAACGAAATATCACGATGACTTTTAGATGGATCAAATCTGTTGTAAATGTTGTAATAATGTTCTTGAGTGTATCAGTGAAGTTCCAGTAAAATAGTTTAAGTAACTGCCTTGCATTTGTTCATCCAGGTGGCTGTCAAAAGTTTCATTTTACAAGTCATCTATCTCCCAGAGTCTACTCTCGAGGCTTTTGTGTGGAATCCTTTGATTCACTTAATATACACACCAGCGACTGACATCAGAATAAATAAACCTTTTTATGAGGAATAAATTTGAAAGATCAATTTTCTCCTCATCAATACTAGCATATGGATATTTTTAGTCTCAATTTGAAAATGTTTGAGAAATATCCGAAATTTCTGGTTATCCACACAAACCTTCATGACGACTAATAAAGTAGTTCAATGACTTCATATTGATCGATATCCGGTAACTGAAAGTCAGATGCTGGCGTGAATGGGATTAATGTTTGTGAATCGGTTAGTGAATCCAAATGTCAAGATTGTTCATAGTTCTTGACCCATAAAGTGGTCAGTATTGATTTGAACAAATATTTACATAATCAACGTCAACATCACCATCCTAATCGAAAGTTTAAAAGAAACTCATTCTTTACATTTTTTCATCCAAAAAGTTAGTTTTCAGCTAGTCAAACATTCAAACGAAGTAATTATGTTGCAAAAAAAAATCATCGAACTCATTTCTTCTACTGTTCCCAATTATTTCCTTCATACTCTTTTTTATCCCTCTTTGTTGTTATTTTATATTGTTGACAATTTTTTCAACTTATGTAAGACATATTTTGTTGTATACACATTTCAACACTGGTAGGATGCCCTTACAGTAATCATGGAATCAATTCCAATAAAGTACAACTAATCATCGTATACAATAGATCTTTAAAAAGAGATATTTTGAATAAGTCCTCCAGTACTGAACAATACAGACCATTTGTGACTGAAGAATTCAATGGGAACTGATAATTGTTCACATTGAAAAAAGTGAATTACTCGCAGTTCTAGCAGAAAAAAATCGAAGACTAATGAGCCTATTAGGTTGCAACACTACGTAGTCTCACATTATACCACTAGCTGACTAAATCTACAGAATGTGGGCAGCAAACTTTCTAACCAGTAAAATATCCACTCCATGTTTTCCTCATATGTCTTGAATATCTTAATTTCGGTCTTACAACAACCGCTTGTTTATATTCTAAGGAGACATCTGACCAAACCTAAGTGTAATCCAGCTGATATCAACTGGTAGTGGAAATTCGTTTAGAACTTTTAAAGTCTTATAAAGTTCGAAATGTCTTATTTATACACTTCAAATTATAACTTGGTATAACTAGCGTTAACCTCTGAAATAAGTACTTTGTATTATCAGTAAAGTTATTTGAAAGTGTATACATGAATATCAAACATGCATACCAACAAACAAACACCATAAATCCGTTCTCTATTTAGCTGACAGAGGTGTACAATACGAATCAATAACGCTGTCTACAGATACAGCTCGATCCTCACTAATAACTGATCCTCTAGCAGAACATGAAATTTCATCTAGATATGCAAAGTTCAACAGCCAACTCGGATCAAAAAAGAACATGCTATTGCGTAATGATTTTAAAAAGCTGCCTGAAAAACCCATGGAACCAGGCATGTATCGAATGACTGAAAGTCGCAGATTACGTTTAAACCCTTTAACAAGTTGTCCAGAGGAGAGTCAATCAATTGCATACAGAGGAGAATCAATTCTTAAATCAGGTGGTCTTAGAAATCATGAATTTGAGACACAGGCATTAAATTATAACCGATACAATCATTATCATCATTGTGATCAGTCCATTTTCTTAAGTTTGGGTTCCACACATCGATTAAAAAAAAATTTGACTCATTCAAATCCATCAGGTCGGTTGTTGTTTTTTGGTGGAACTTTAACGGTGCAAAGTTTTCCATGATGAAAAATATACACGTTCGTGCACACATGCACACACGTACATATTTATATACGCTTACTCATACAAGTAACTAACATACATCACATAGGCAGATTTTGTCTTTCAGTATGCCTGAAAACTAACAAACATCTGTGTATAGCGATGCCAACATTACTGTTTAAACGCTTAACACACTTCATCTTGAGGATTAGAAGAAAAACTGAAAATTAGGAGAAAAAACACCTAAATCGATTAATATCTAATTCATAGGTTGTTATATTGTTTTTTTAACTACGAGAACGCCATATCGATTCACTGAAGGCAGTTAGCTTAAGTGATAGTTTTTGTTTTCGTCTCATGATATATTCCATTTTAATCTTCACTGTTTGGTTATATGAGTTTTCAATCATAATTCCAGTAATCATTATCATCCAAATTATGGGTGAAAGTTGTTGATCCATCCTATAGGTATAATCATTCATCTTTTTTTTAAAAACATCATTTACTGACATTATCTGAATGTCATAAAAAGTATTATCTTTACGATTGCATATTTTAGTAAAGCAATTTTTTACATCAAATTCATCAATTTGTTGAATTTCTCAAATTAACAGTGGTTTTTTCTTTTCTCATTTGTTCATTGATTTCTGTGTGCGTGCGTGCTTGTGTTTGTGTGTGTGTGCGCTACTGCTGCTGGATGTTGCGCTTGCCTTTGTCTGTGCGTTTCTGTATGTTTGCATATGTGAATTGGTGATCATGATGTGTTAATCGAAGCTGTTTACAAATCACAAATTATCACAGATGATGGAAACTTCTCAATACCTAAACGTACAATGAGTCATACCAATGTCTATGGGCCACGATCCTGGAATTTACGATCTTATCAAGGATCCGGTCAGTTTAAATATTGTAACAGTTATCATTATTATTGCTCCATTGATAATTTTTTTCACTATCGTTAACCATGTCCGGATTTTGCTTGCATCATATTGGTGAGATCAGATAGATAACACTTTGTAAGTGCACATCAGACGCGCGGTTACTTATTTCATTGTTCCAAAAATCGTGCATGTAATAGTTTGATATCTCAGGTATTCCTTTTCAAGTTATTGCTGATATTGATGATAATGATTCAACTAAACCCAGCCCACAAACCGACGAGAATCAAAAAAAGCAACACAGACATCTCATCTCAAGTAGTATTTTCTCACAAGTTCCTACTTAACCCCACCCATCTACCAGTTATCAAGTATTGTCGCACATACGTTTACCATCCACTACTGGTCCAGGAGTGGGTAAGTGTAGTTTCCCGAAATCTCGCCTTATGCAGACCCGATGAGCGTTTTTACATAAAATGATGGGTTTGCCTGACCTCACAGAAATACATTCAACCGACATCTTACACTTCTCTCTACAGGTTTCATGAGCTCTTATTCCATTGTTTATTAACCTTTAGAAATATAAAAATAATCAAGAACTAAATAGAAGAATATGCTTCGCACGCTAAGAAAAAGGATCTGAGAGTTGAATGAAAGCCTCAAATCTAAAGTTTCCGATCCACTATATATGTGTGGTCCAACTTATCAAACATTCTACTTCAACTATAGATAAGTTCAGAAAAGCATTTTTACATACAAATTTATGACAAGAACTATTTCTAAATTGCATCCAATATCAGGAACCCCTACTATATAGATGGAGTATAACCTTAAATATAACTGACTGCGTTGAAAATAGTCAACCGCAAAATACGAAACCCTGATGTGACATTAACTATTATATTATCTTTCTCTGACAAATTAGACCGCCTTTCAGGCATCAATAAACAGTAGGGCAAAAGCTTAGGGATGATAAAGTGGATAAAATAGATCATTTATTACACAATATTATAAACTGAACTCGACAAAGATAAGTCAATATGTCTGTGGGAACTGATTACGGTACGATATGAGCCTTTGAATTAAAGAAATAAGTACTTTATTTTTCGTTGAGTTTAAGATAGTCAATTTGAACATGGGAACTGAAATTACGCAACCTAATGAGTTCTGTCGTGTAATAATGTATTAAAAGGTTCTTTACACAAATGCTCATTATTGAGACAGTCGGTTGGTAAAATGTTTTTCTGCATAATTTTCTGTCTACTTTAATAAGTTGTTCGCTAGCTGGTTAGTTCGTAACGCGATACATCTAACCTAGAGGGTTATTTTGAAACTTGAGTGATTGGAGAATAAAAAAACTTCCATGGAAATTTGATATATGATTAAATGTTACGGCTAGATTCATAACTGACAATGAAACCTTTGAGTCACTTTTACTACAATTCAAATTTAGGACACAATTTGACCATGCATGCAAGTGAGTTTTGACAAAATATGGTTGATACTGGGTGATGATTGAAGGCGAAATGAAAATCTGGAACGCGGCTGGATTTAAACCAGCGACCATTGGGTTTCCTGCCTGACGCTCTACCGACTGGGCCATGAAGTTCAACTACTGGCCAAATTTTTATTTCACGTCAGTCACCATCGGTCTTGCCCGACTACCATGTAAATTGGTGGTGCTTTACTGTCACTTAATCGTATTCACACTGGAGCCTAGTCATGACTTCTTATCCCAACCCAAACCTAACTGAATTAGAGAGATGAAGTATCATATTGATTATCATCTGAATATCTGAGATAACCGTAGTTTGACTAACTAGTATTTATATTGGGCGATAACTAAAGGTGAAATGAAAATTTGGACCGCGGCTGGATTCGAACTGGCGACCATATAACTGTCTTATAAATCCCCCCATTTATTCACTATCCTCTTATTCTTCATATTTAGCCAATTTCGAAGTGAAACACCATAGAAAACGTTTTGAATTAACGGTGTTCAACTCTCCAGAATGACTGTTTTGCCTGATTTTCTCACAGGTATGTTATGTAGTGTCAGAGGCTCGTTGGTAAGTAAGTGGAAACCCTTCTAAATTGAAACCTCCAAACTCAGTTACTTGGCACTTTAGCAACATACATTTTCGTTGAGATTTTATAGTGACTATTTAGTTCCTGCAAAGCAGGATGAACGATATTTCATTAACAGGATTCTTTCGACACCAAAGATCATGCAACATAACACTGATTATTCCATTTTAGTATATTTATTAGATGTGTCACATAGTCGAGTGGCATTATTACCTGGATAACTTCTCGGACATGGTTTATTGTCTATTTTCATATAAGATGGTTGGTTTCCAATGATCTATTAATGCATGTTTTCTAACTGCTTTTTCATGAGAATCTTAACTGTTTCTTACATATTCGTAAAATTTAATGACACAAACATAACTTGTGGGTTAATTTCTTTACCATTCCATAAGATTTATTCATTATTCTCTATATGAGTCAAGAAGGAGAATAGACTTGATGGAAGAGTTTCATATGCAGTGAAAAGAAATTCATTCTTACTCTATGGTGATTGAAAGTATGATCACTGATTTGAGTTGAAACTGAGAATTCAGAGGAAAATTCTGGAAAATCCTTCTGACATTTCTACAGTGTTAATGGAACAATGAACTTTAACAAAACCATTACCGACCGACATTTGTTTCCTTCTGACCACGCCTTACAGGAAAACTTTTAGGGACATTCTAGCTACTACCTTTAGTGAGAGTAGAAAACGTACCAAATTACAAGCCTTAGGTTGTATATCATATGCATAAATCAGTGTTCTCAGTCAGTTCAACCCGTAAATAACATACTTGATTGCTGTGTGCATCGTATAATATATTCAAGAGATAATCTATCTGTCAGTCTTAGGTGATAATGTGTTTAAATTATATTCATCATTTCATCGATCATTTTGAGCATAAGAAAGGTGATAGTCAGACTTCTAGGGTTCAGGTAATTACAGTTTACAAACATCTTTCGAAAGGCTGAGTAAACATTTAGATGTATGGATATACCTGCTCAACACTTTGGAGATTTGTCACTTTTGTACCCCTTTTCGTTTTTAATCTAGTGTGAGTTAGTTTTTACTCATCTAATAATGATAATAGTTGTGTAATAATTCACTGACGGAGTATTTCCTGTGATGGGTCCCATACTAGGACGAAACAGTTCCCCAATACCCCCAGCTTTCATTGGTTTTGCAGGTGGTCAGTTTGCAGTTAATAATAACTTGAGATGTAAATTGTTTTGCATCTTTCATCTAAACAGCCCACAACTATTATAGTAAAATAGTAACCGTTAAAAATTGCCAACTGATCAACAGAAGTTTTGTGATTGCGTAATTGATTGACACCTTCTGATGCTGTTAACCGACTTTCCTTAGAATACTTATCAAAAGATACACTGAATAGTTAGAAAACTTGTTCAGTAACTAAAAGTATAATTATATAGGAAGTATGCAATATAAAGTTTTTAAAAACACTAGAAGCTATTTCACGCATCTTTCAAAAGCAACTGCATACCACTAATTGACCAACTAGTACAGGTATAGATAAGCCTTTTTGTGGATAAGGTGTCATCGTGCCGAACCCTTTCAGATAGACGTGAAAGTGAAGTTTGTAAGCAGTTGATCAACTGTAGCTGACACAACACTCGGCAGATTGCTCAAAAATCTGATCCCCCACTTGGTCGTAAGTGCGCACTGCTGGATAGTCTTGAACTAGGAAGAGATGGCTGTTCAGTTCTCGCTGGTGTTTTTTACTGATATCAGTTTCTGATGGAAAGTCTTTCAAATTTTATGAATTTTATCAGGAAGATTTCTTTTTAGTTCAACCATCATTTTTATGAATGTACTGATCCACCTGTCCGATAGAACTAGTTTAGATACTTCTTATAACAGACAGCTACGATTATTTTTTCTAAAACCAAGTGACAAAGTAAAAATCCCTTGAAAATGAGCTCAATGTGGTGTTCATTTGATTAAAACTTCAGTGTTTTGTTTTTTCTAGAATCTGATCTGGCCTACAAGCGAGAGATGTCCTCATCATCACATTTGGCACGCTCCGGTTATTCAGCAAGACGTGAACGTTTAAAACAGGAACGTGAACAGGAGTTAGTACGACAGACGAGACTGAGACAAATGGCAGCCTCTTCAACTGGATTACATGATCATCGTCATTATCAACAACAAAATGTTCACAACCATAATAAGCAACATTATCGTTCAACCTCAGCAGTAAATGTAAGTGGTTATGAAATGAGTGAGATACACTCATTGGAGTACTGAGTTAAAATATGTTTCCAAATAACTTTAGTACAGTAATTCTAAGTTTAAATTCATGGTATCTTTGGTGCAAGGAATGAACTTGTAAATCTATCATCTTCCCCTCAAGATTTATTCCTCTTTCATTTCTTCAAACAAATCCACGATAAACTCTAGTCCAAAATGTTACGAAGATTATTCCTAGTGTAGGAACCACTGGACACAAAGTGCCTGAAGGCTTCGGGAGAAATAGATAGTTCACTGTGGAGGTTTCTGGTGAATTGTTGATTTCAAGGTGGTTTCAACATGCAATGACACCAGTTGAAGAACCATTTAAAACCTGGGGACATGAGGTGGCTGTTTCATCCCTACAAGGAACTCCTCAGCAGTGTGCACCAGTGATCCTGTTAGGGATCGAACCAATGACCTTCAGGTCTCGTGGCGTACATGTTCCCAATGAGTCAGTGGGTCGGAATCCAATGGGCAATACTTTCTTACTTCCATCAACTCGTGATATGGTGTGATAGTTACCTATCGACTAGCATTTGTCCTCCTACCCTACCTAAATTTCAGGAGCACATCTCAAAGTGTGTCACTTATGAGTTCAAATACTCTCCAATGGTACTGTATTAAGGTCAGGCTATATCCCGAATTGACAGGAGTAGGAAATGTTGATTGTTGGATTATGACCCAATAGCTCAACAGCAACTAGCTGACCACCGAACCTGAAAGTCTTGGGTTTGACATCTTGTTGGTTAATGGGTGTTTACGAGTGGCGAGTTCCAAACCAGGATGAAACAGTCGTTCAATGCTCCCAAGTTTTCAACAATTCTTCGACCGATGTCGGTCCGTGATGAATATGACCTAGAAATAGACAAGTATATAAATACACCTGAAGACGAAATGTCTTTAGCTGCCTATGGGCAGTATTATATATTTGCACATGTGCATGTCTACATTCATAATGAATTGTTCCCTGAGGTGCATTTCTGTTTAACAGACGTTCTGATCTCATGTTAAATATGAACATAGGTTCAACTTTCCAAAGTAACAAACAAACTTGAGTTTCCATGAGTATTGAGTAATTTTACCCTGTTTCAAATTAGTTGGTCATCCTGCAAATTTGTGGCTGGCTAATATTTTTAGCCCTTGTTTGTGTAATAGTAAAGGAAAGCAGATGTTGGTTTTAAAATAGCGTAATAGCATTCATGGTCAACGAACTGACACTTCTTTGTGTACAACAGATAAAAGGTATCTTAAGCTCTAATTGTGCCAAGATTAGTCAAGCAATATTTTTCGGTTTATATACTAAAGAAGCTCGTATATTCGCTTATTAACAACAGATATAGTTCTGTTGCTATATTTACTTGTTGCTTTAAAGCCACATTAACAAACAAGCAGAAAACTTTATTTTTTATGTATGTTCAAATCACGCCTAATATGTTAGTGGAGGGTACTGAAAGATCACGGGGATATGATAACTGATAGATTTGAAGCATCTGCTGACTCCAATATTTTGCAGCCAAACAACGAATACTGACAGCCATATTTTTGTCTCATAGTGCAGCTGTAGATGGAAGCAGAAATTCCAAAAAAATTAAATTTAGACAACCACCATGTGATATGAAGTATTTCGAAATAACCATATTTAGTGAAACACCAATATAATTGGTAACAATTCACCTGAATTGATTGATGTCGGTTTGTCAAGATGATAACTAAAACCAGATTATACCTTTTTCCAGTAAAAAAAAAACAAAACAAATTCGACACTGATAAGCAGAGATTTCTTTAAAATTATATTTAGGAAATCAGTCGAAAGGAGTTAATCCAAAAAGTATGTTGAGTTTGAGAATGCAAAAGGCAACATCTCTAGATGCATGAAGGAATGAAATGTTTTGGTTACGTGTTAACTTTTATCTGAAGAGAATTTATTTCACATGCATGTATACTCACTTCGCTTCTTATTTGCTACCCATTTTTTCCATTGGCACTGCTTAAAAAGAATGTCAGTTCATATCATGCTAAGTTCAGTATTAAACTCTAACTTATTAATTTGCAGAGATCTATTGGGAGTACTGAAGCTTTCGAAGAGTTTGAAACAATCACTTTGCAGCCAATAGGTAGAGGTGTTCAGGACCTCGATTCACATGTTGGATCAATGACGACATTGGCACGAGGAGGTGGTGCTTCATCTATGATTGAAGGTAAACCTTTTATCAGTATGAAACTCTTCTTTTCCAGCAAACGTACACTACATACTTGAATGATAAATAAACTGGTCTTTTCTGTTGTTTATTGACTGAAATACATCCATGTATGAAGTAAGGAACTGTGGACCGTTGAATATTGACCCAGTGTGTGCATGGTTAGCATGTTCACCATGAAACGTGGAAGTGCAGAGTCCAATCCCAAACTAGGTCGAGGGTGCATTCTGCTGAGCAGTCTCTTACTAGGACGAAACAGCTGTCCAGTGCTCCCAGGTTTTCGATAATTTTCCAACTGGTATTAGTCTATGATGAATACTAATCCAACATATGAAATCCCTAAGGAACACTACAACACGATTTTCAGCTTTCAGATTATCAAAAATACCACACAATTTTACTGTAACCATTAGATTATGACACTTATATCCCATAAAGATTTCAACTTCACTTTTTACAACCGTGGCTATATTTCACCAATTTAACTGCGTGGCTAAATTCTCTCAGCAAGTGTACCTAGCATAGCTGAAATTTGAAGTCATGCAAACTGTCACGCTGACTTGTTTAATAGTTTTATCCAGCTTAGTGAAACAAAGTGATGTTGAAACTAAATTAGGATATTCATTTCTTCTACACCATAGGTGTATACACTAATCTAAGCCCTAACCGCCTACCAAGGTTAAATTTGCTGAGCCGTGTTTTGATATCAAGGAAATTCAGTTGGTGAACTGAAAACCTTGTCCTCAAAATTTTTGATCAATTTAAGGTTAAAATTCAAGTGTTTGTTGGGTCTTCATTATTGAGAAGGGATCTTGTAAGACTTTAGCATAGTTCTGATTTTGCCCATCTCTTAGAAATACAGTAAGGTATTGTTATTTTAACCATTTACAATGAGAATTTAAGTGCTTCTCAGCCTAAATTGTTAAAACCTCTTGTGTAGAAAAATGAAGCTACTTGTCTAGACACAGTTTTGACCCTACGGGAACCTGATAAACATTTAGACCAAAAATATCCACAATCCAAGCAGTCGGAGAAAAATGGCTTCTCATTTGTCTAGATTAGTCGTTCGTAGATTAAGATGCACAGTTGCTTGGTGGGTGGAACATAAAAGAAAAAAATGCATAGGAACCCTATCAACAACTTAATTGCATGCTAAACTAAATTATATGAAGTCGAAATCTGACTTGAATTAACAATTTGTCGTCGACTGAAACGAAGTTGACGTGAATCACTCTTGTCCAATTAAGTACTGATATAGGAACTCATCATTCATTGGTTTGTCACTGCAGAGCAACCAATATCAAGTCATCTAGTCCTGAGTGGCCGCATTTTGCGATGTGGCCACCAAGTTAAGAGGCTTACCAATCGGTATCTGTAATCCAGTCCTACAGAAGGTCAGTCATAGCCCAAATACCTCAGAGGTAACGCTGGCTAACTGAAGCACTGTCTGATACGGGTTAAATCTCAGAAGGGACAGCAGTCCCCTCAACGTTAGAGATGAGTCTTGCTGACGAGTCCCAACAAGCATGCAACCTAAGTCAAGGCTTAACTGCCAATTGCCTCATTATTAGTATTGTTTGTCCCTTGGGTTCCTAGTGGAATATAGGGCTTCAGTAGCCGTTCAGTCGCTATTTCACTCTCTTCTCTGCAGTTTTTTCAACCTGGCCCCACCATTGCCCAGAAGCTTTCATTTCCTTCTCACACGATCTCCTCTATGTTGCCACACTGGGACACCCAACTCGTCGTTTTCCATTTGCATTCCACTTGACTGCCTGGCCCGGTGCGTGGTGTCCCCAAACAGCCTTCTCAGTGTATGTCCAATCCAATCCATCTCCATTTTCTTCCTCATGTTCGCGGAGCGATAGGTTGTTGGCTGGTTCGTTGCCAGAGCTCGTTGCCTATCCTTTCTGGCCTTCTGATCTTCAGTACCGAACGAGCGTGGGCGGTAGTTGTTGATGTACGTCTGCAGTTTGTTGGAAACAACCCAGCTCAGAGAACACAATACAACCAAGACCCTCCACCTGAGATACAAACATTCTCCATCTTTCAGGAAGTGAATACATGCAGTAAACTGGGAAACGGAGAATAGGATAAGTAGATCGTACACTTGAATCCAAAGCTGTTATCAAGTATTGGAGTGAATATTTTACGCTTCCCATACACTAAGTTGCTCTTCAGTTCCGGCACTCGACTTTCAAATAGTTATCCGCGAACACGTCTCTATCTACCAAATTTTGTGCAGTCACAAAACGGGAGTAGCTTATTGTCGGCTGCAAGAACGTGCATGTGGTTTCTGAGTGAATTTCGATTACGCAATTCTGACACATTTTCTTTGTCAATATCATGCACTGATAAATCCAACATGTTTGAAATTAAATATGCTGTAATCCCATAGCTGTAATATTGGAGTGACTTTAAAGGTCATCTAGACAACTGCTGAAATATCCAATCAGGTTTCAGCATTTTGACTAGGAAGCTGGTTTTTTCATGAGACAGAGGAAAGTAACTGGTTATCTCAGCAGTAGTTAGTGTTACCTTTTAAGTCACTCGTAAAACTTAAATGCCACCATAGAAATACATTCACGAAGTAAAGTTTTGTCTGAGTACTAGTTACACAAAGTTCCACTACCTACAGTCTTAAATTAAGCTGTTTTTGTCGAGATCTGCATGCATATATAAAATTTGAAATGCAGAAATAAAGCTTCAAGAAAAATGTATTGGTTTGTTTTTGTTACCTTTGACTACTGCACATATGAATTTAATACAGGTTGACATTCCGTCCATCCTACTAGACGATGATATATCTTGAAAATGTCCATTTTAAGAACGGTTTATTTAAACTTAATGGAAATAATCATGGTACTAAATGGCATATCTAACAATTAAATACCTTCCTACCAATTAGTTTAGTGAGAACGACGATAATCCTTTAGGTGACCAGTAAAATATGGCGTAAAAAGTAACCATTATTATTTATCTCAGTAGTTGCTAGGGTGAACCTCGAAGGTTTGAAAGACTCTAAAGGCCACTCTAGTAACTGGCAAAAAGACTAATTACGTTTCTTGATTTTGCTTGGAATGGTAGTTTCTTCTCTAAAAACAGGCAAGGCTAATTGGTTATTCCAGCAGTCGCTAGAATATTTCAAGTTGTTATTCATCGAAGACTGACATCAGTTGGAGGAACAAAGGAAACCTGGGAGCACTGGACAGCTGTTTCGTCCTAGTATGGGACTCCTCAGCAGTGCGCACATTACACATTACACAAGTGTAACTTGAAATATTTCCAAATCTCCACAACCCCCTCAAAATTTAGTCGCTAGAATGTTTTTTAGTTTCACTCCGATGTGAACTTGGCTAAGACAGTAGACTGGAAGTCTACTGTGACAAAATATAACTTGTTACCATACCTTATCAATGTTCACATTAAATTGGACAAATGTACTGAAAAAGATCAACATTTAAGCAAATTAAGACTCCTACTTATTAGTGTCTAATTTACACTGATCCTGTTCACTTGGTTTATGTTCAAAACTCATCTAATTGTTAACCGAATAAGAAACAATTACATGATGGGACTAATCATTGCATCAATCCATGTTCTGTAAAATGATGGAAGACATACGTCCACATTAGTTCATGTCTCAAAATGCATCATGTATGACAAACATAGAAAGATAACTTTCAAATGAATGTCCTCAAAGGCCACCCTAAAAACTACTAAACTAGTCAATTCTGTTTCTTTGTTTTACTAAACACTGACCTTTCAGTCAAAATATCTAATTGGTCATTTCAGTGGTTGTCAAGGGGACTCTTAAAGTCAATCTGTGAGGGTACGAGTCCAGAGGACTAATCTTAAAGACCGTCCCAGAGGAAGATTAAGAAAGGTGTTGTAACCTTTTTATTTTTGCCAGTATCACACCAGTTCAGTAGTATGTCGTGATACAAAACTAAACAGCTCTTCATACTGTTCTTCTTTAGAAGAACATCTCTTGTGCATTGCAGGTAAGATTAATTCGTAAAGCTTCACAACAACCAAACTTTGTTCATGATAAACAAGAAGATAAACCTTTTAGTTACTCATTATCATAATATCAGTTTTAATTTTTCTAAGATTCATGTAGATAATTCCTGTTTTTTATTTCACCGAAAAAATATACCTGGTCTTACAATCTATAGTACGTTGTTGTTCACAATCTGGTGAAAATCAATGATACAATAATTGTTTGCCGTTCACTCAGCTTTGGTATTTGATCGTGAGCATTTTATTACCAGACTGGATAACGTTACTGGTGACTGATTCATAAAGACGTGGAGTAAGCATCGATAACACCAATAAACTCAAAGATGAAATGTCTTTCGAGAAAAATAAATCCTGAGCTATAAGTCTGCTTTACAATACTGAAACTTTAATGGACCACCATAACAGCTTGTTAATGTTATGCATTAATAGCCTTGGGGAAATATTTTGTAGATGGGATGCTATTTGCTTCAAACTGGGATTCAGAGAGTAACGGTCAATTATTCTTCATGACTCTAAGATTCTGTGACATTACACACACAACACATTTTGGGATCGATCTCATGATTCATCTCCAGAAAAAAGTGATTTCACCTGTTCAGATTGGTGTCAGTTTCAAGAGCAGTCAGACGACAATTTGATATAACTAATGCTGTCATGAAAAATAGCTACACTGATCACCGTTAGTTATACAAATTAACGCCCTACATTTTAAACTTTCCCTGGCTGGTTTTCACCTCAATACCATACGAGTCTCACTTTCAAACTATGCAGTATTTTACTACATCTCATTTCGGGGTTCGTACCATGTAATGGAGGTTAGTTAACTATTGATATCTGAGTTAACAGTTTTAAAGCTCTATGAAGCAACTGAAAGTAAGACTCTGGTAGCAACCAGTTAACTCGATAATTGTTCTAATTCTTATGAAGATGGTTGATCAAAGCTTTAAATTTTTATTTCATCAGCTTTCTATTAAGATAATGTCTATCACCAAGTTTTTAATGTTATCTCCTATTTGAGTACAATAGAGGCGTGCTACTGAAGCCCTATGTTCCATTAGGAACCCAGGGGAAAATAATAATAGCAATCTCCTATTTGATTGACGTAATATCTAGAAGGATGGATTTTTAGCCATGAAACTTCATTTCCTATGCTTCTATCTGCTTACGAGATATTTTAAGTATTAGCACTTAGCAGGCACCTAGCGAGTGGCTTGATAGACGTTTATTAACTTAGTTACAAACCTAAACAGACTACATTATGTGTACATAAATCTATGATGACATATTTGTAGGAATCGTCTTCGCGACACAGTCTGTTTAATTTCATTATTATTACCATTCGAATGTATATATCCCTTGTCGTCTTTTTTGCCTTATTGTGAGTGACATGAGTGCACTGATTGCAGTTAACATAGATTGCGTTCAAAAAGAAATGTTTACTTCATTTACTAATAAAAATATGAAAAAGACAGTGATTTAAAATAAATATATGCATAAAGTTTCCTAAAAGTGAAAAGTAACTCTCTTTGTTCTTTTTTCCTTCTAATTCCCCCTGATTTCATTTTTTCCCCTTTTTATTTATCAAATAATAATTACTGCAATTACTTAACCATTGGTGTCAATGATGGTCATATAAACCTTCCTTACAATTAACTATATTACGCTCATTGTATACAATGTATTATTTTGTTTCCGCTATACACATTAACGCGACAAATTTAAAACTGAATTAATCATTACTTACAAAGTTCATAGGCATACAGTTCGAACTCCTAGAGTACATTCGCCGTCTTCTTACCATTTTAATCGTGCACACAGTACAACACCAACACGTTATAGTAGACCTGCTAGAAGATTATCTAATTGTCTTCATAAACGTCATTCAGCTTTTGGCGGTTCAGGTGAAACATATCCTTCACTCAAATCTCGTACTCCTGATCCAGGACGTGATATTACGGGCTCTCCTTTATGGTCAGCATTACCAAGAAGATTAAGTACATCACCACCAGTCACTTGTAAGTCATGGAAAAGTGAACGAAACGTGACTGCCACACCATTAGAACCGATTAGCTATGAAGATGTAATGCCTAACACACAGATGGCAAAAATTCAAGTGCTGGAATCGAATGACTTACCAGCAATACTAACTCCATATTCTAGACAATCAAGTGACCCATATTCCACATCTGTCACGAAAAAAGATGCGAAAATGTTTGAATCCCATTCAGAAAACATTGCATGGAACAACCACTTAGATGGACATGAATCGGAAACGGTTAATCTGAGAAAGGTGGTTTCTTTGAAAAGACCACCTGAACGTTCCAAATTATGGGCACTCACGGAAAGCCTAACAACTATGCGACCAGAAAGTGGTTATCTACCCACTTCTCCACGTCAGTCAAGTGTTATTGATGAAGATGACGGTAGAAAAGATGGTGTTATTCGTGTATCAAATTCAGTGGAACCTGGAAAGACTGTGTTCACATCTGAAATAAATGGTTTGTATCTGCAGTATAATCCTGGCAATAAGATATTTATTTGAGCAGTGTAGTAACAACAGTAGTTAATTTTGGTGTTTGCACTCTCACCTAGTTATAAACAAATAACATGGTTGAAAATAACCAAATGTTACAAAACTGCCGCAAATTCTTCCTTTTTTAAATTTCCGTAATTCAATCGGCATTACATGGTGCGTAAGTTAAGGCTATATTACATTTACAAAAACAATCTTAGTGAGAAAACAATCTGGGTAGATCAAGTTTTGGTGAATAAATGTTCTTTAGAGTACTTTTTGTTCAATAAGGCCTGTTGCAACCAGATTTTACGCATCACTAAAAAGGGTTAACTCTGTAGATGTACCTAGAAATAACTTATTTCAAATTAAGGATAAGAATGGTGTGATAATTCTGGTGATTTTCTTTTACCTTATCTGATTGGTGCGATTTTAAGACTTCTGATGTGGCTTAAAATGAAATCCGTTGAGAGAAATAAATGGCATAACGAAATGAGGACCTTATAAACTTGGCTTTGATTGTTCTTAAGGGGCTATTATTTCAGTAATTCTGCTTATGTATTAACATATTTCGGTGTTTGGCAGCTGAGTTGATATCATTTAATGCATTCGATCAGCCAACATGTTACATTAGTTTCAAAATATACATATTTTCACAAATGATGCGAATGCTAATGTTCCATAAACTATATCATATTATTTGAATTTTGTCGGCTGAAGATTTTCATATTTCTGTTAAATTGAACTCACGTTTATTTCCTGTCCACATCCAATTGCACTATACTGCTGTGCGCTTTATAGTAAAACAGTTAAATAGCATTTATGATAGCTCAGGTAATTCATAAAACAATCTAATCTGAGCCACTTCTGTTACTTAGTCACTTAACTTCTGGAACCTGTAAAACATGGAATTTGGTGACTATTCCAGACTGTTGGGAACATAAGATTCTCTGGGCTTCAGTTGTTTTATAGCTAATCAGGATTAAAGAATTTTATCTGAAGTATTATGGGTTGAATTCAGAAGACTATGCTTACATACTAACATACATTCTATTCGTACTTGTAAAGCCTTTAGCTTACCATTCGTTAATCTCCTCCTCTGATAAATTTTAAGTCTACTCTCTTTGATAATCATTGTGTTCAAAGGTAAGATCACACATGTTTATGCTTATTTCATTTAGTAATATCTAATCTGGTGGCCTATTTAACTCCAAAAAAATTATTCCTCCCATTTTCTACCGACATTATGTACACTGTTAACTGTTTTATGCATGCATAATGTTCAATGTAGGTGAAATTGGATATGACTGACATTAGAATGTGAAATTTAATTTCTTCAAGTTATCGATCTGTGATACCCACAGCCAGGTTACATCACTTAACTGCTGGATAGATTTCGCTTGCACCTTTTTACTGCAAAATATTATTGTTAGTTTTCTGTTCAGTCTAACCTCGTTAGCTTTTCTCTCTGAATTACTTTGCGTTAAATTGCTTAGCATTAGATCTTTTAGCTTTTTTACAAATCATTGTAGTAATCTTTTTCTCTTTTTGATTTGAAATTAAACTAATAAATAGATATCTTTTTTTGCCTTCTTTTTGCTTCGATTTCATCAATTCAATTTTTTTTATAATTTGGTGCAATTTTCAAAGGTCTAAGTCACGTTGATGATCATCATCATGCTCGTGCAGGTTCACGCGCAAGCTTAGCACGTCAACCGTTTGCTTCAACTCAGTAAGTTTCTGCATTTTACGATTGATTACGGGTCTATCTTACTCATGCCTATGTAATTGTATTCATGCGCCTCGATATCTCATACTTTAAAACAGAAGTTATAAAATTGTTGTTATTTTACCTAGTATATTTCAGTCAAAGACCATACTTTAGCCGCTGTTATGACATATATCTCACTGCGATTTGAAACCTACTGATCACAGAATACATTTCGCCTATGAAATTGCAATACAGTATGTTGTGCTTGGTTTTTAAAGTCTCCGGAACTGTTGGCACTTATAAGTAGGGTACATATTTGCCTAACCAACTTAACATCTGGAGGTTCATGAGGACTTATTGATCTTAAGTTTGTAATAATCGGAAACTGGAATCGGTTTCAGAACTGTTGAAACCTGGGAGTACAGGACAGCTGTTTCATCCTAACATGGGACCACTTGGCTGTGTACTCACGACCCCACCAGGGATCGAACCCAGGATCTTCAGGTTTCATAGTGAGCATAATAATAATGACCCACTAGGTCAGAATCTAATGATCCACATTTAGTCATCCAGTGCCATTTTTGAGTACTTGTTCTCACGTCTGATTTTGTTCACCCTAATGGTCATGACTCCTTATTACAATTCCGGGAGATCTCATCCCAAAACAAGTTCCTAATGATAACTGGATTGTAATTCAACTTGGGGATTTGTGGGGATTTATTGTTTTCAAGTTTGCATTCATTAGTGACGAGCATGTTGTTTTATCTCGACTGCAGGTTCAATTTTGTTGGTTGAATTCATGTTCAAACTAATATTCAAAGTAACTAGACAATGCGTTGTCTTTTGTTTGATTCGTCACTAATTAGACTAGGTTGATAGTGATGGCTAGGCTCCATTTTCACACTCATAAACAGTTATCATTAGGTTAAGAAGCTTATGTCAAAGCTCCTTATTCGCAATGCAGACTCATTTGATGCTCGTAGAGTAAAAATGAAATCTCTAATGCTTGAATAAACATCCTGTTAAGAAACTCCAACAAAGTGAGTTTTAAATTCAATTTTTTCCAAACAAGTGTGATGAATTGAAACAGTCCTAGATAGAAAGTTTATTTGGAAAAGTCAAGTAAACTTATACAAGTTTTATGGTGGTTATAGCCTAACAGAAGTCTCAAGTTGTGCTCTCTTATTAGATAAGAAAACTTTATCAAATATCTATCTTTACATTGACTGATTTAATTTTTAAGACATCACGCTTTTTTTGGAAAAATGTTGTTACGTTACTCGATTAGCAACTTTGATAAGTGATTTTGGTTGCCAAACCTAGTAAATCATTAGTTGAATGAACACTAACTTAGAAGAACCTTGAATACATACAGTCCACTGCTCTATGATAGGACGATTTTGTTCATTCACAGACTGAATGGAGATATTCATTCATATGAATATATTCATAGTCTCAGTAATTGTTGGAGTCATTATGAACTTTTGATCTCCATGTAGTCAGCTTGCTGTTTGATTTATCTTCAAAATAATTCATCATCATATGGTTTAAGAAAATTACTGCAGTATCAAGTGCTGTCGATGAAGATTTAAAGTGATCATTATTTTTCAGTCAGTCGATGACAACATGGAACCTAGTAATACCGCATAATAGTCAAAGTTGTCACACCTCGTATCAGAAAACCAAGATACAGAGTAACATATAGAAAGATAAAGAAATAGGAGGGAAATGTAAACGAAACCCGTCAAAAGTTATGAGAAAAGAAAGAGTTGGCGAAATTATAGTGCACTACGATCTGAAGATTAAAATGCGGGTAGTGTTTAGAAGCATCTGTGTGACTGAGACATATTCTGACTTGGCACTTAGTGTCTTCAGCAACCAACTTTGGTTGCACACTCACTTCATCCTGAAAATCTGCATATTCTTGTACAGGTGAGACCTTAGATGTGGTTTCTAAAATATCCAAAGTGCATTTTAAAGTAATAACTAAGTGTTAGTTGGTTGAAGACAATCACTAAAAAGCCCTGAACCTAGGTTTCGTGCTTGTTGACACTTGTAAGCAAGGCGTGTCTGCAAGCTCGACGTAACTGATGCCCCACCTAAGATTGGAAACCGTGTCGCCCAGTGTTGTAGTCAGCAACTTTACCACTGAGTTATTCGGGTCACAACTGACCTCCATTAGGACTAGATTGCATGCATTGACTGATCACAGATGAGCAACCAATTTCATATTATCTATTCCTGGTTGCAGGCCATATCCTGTCGATCATATTTCACTTCCACTTTTAGAGGGTACGAAAATGCTATCCAATTCACTTCTAAAAACCCTTCACCAAGACAATGAATTTCCATATAAAACTGTCGTTAAAAAGTGAAACCTTTTGGAAAAAGCGCAAACATTCAGTCAGTATGTTAGTGACCATATCTTTCTTCTACTTAGGCATAACATGGAAACCGCTTGTTTGTGCTAATGACTACACTCATCTTAAGATAAACTCTAGGACTTCATACAGGCACATCTGCATGGATATTTTCTCGGTACTACTGGATATCAACTTACAAACTGCAAGATAATAACCAAGCGTTAGCCATTCGTAAACTTAATCCCCCGCTGTGTGTACAAAAACAATTTGTTGTTTCACTTAATTTACCTTGGTAATCCTTATCTGATTATATTACCAAGACTAGTGTCACAACCTTTTCATATTCACTATATTTGACCTTTAATTTTCATATATAAATTGACTTGACAAGTAAATGTGTGATCAGATGGTTCGAAATGTATTGCGCAAATACATCACATTTTTCAGATAATCTTCGTCTTCTAATAGCGTTATCGAAACAACCAAGTAGTTAAGCGCTACTACAATCTTTATCATTTTCAATTAGACCTGCGCTTTACTTTTACACTTTTAGATGTCTGAATCGGCAAAACTTGAATCATGAAGGTGAACATACAATTTCTATCAATCGTATTCAACCAGTATCAAGTGAGTCAGTACTGAGATGATGAAATGACTCAAAGTGTTTAAATCTATTTACACAAAGTACAACAAGTGACATTATAAATGCGTATGGATTGTCAGTGGTTTCATACAAACATTGTCTTGATAGTTGTCTAAATAATTTACAAATTATTTTTTAAAATTTGCCTTCAGGCATTACTGTTATATGATACGAATATGCACCAGCCTAAATAATCTAACTACCGCATTTATTTGACAAGATTAACAAAAGAATTTGTGTGAAGTTTTTAAAAGTTATACTGATCACACACTGATGTTAGGATTATGAATTATGCTGATAAAAACTTGCAAAGTTTACAATGATACCATGGTGGTACGACTTTTAAATTCACTGAACATTTGTCTGATCCAACGTGAGTACATGCATAATATGCAATAACGAAACATTTGAATTATAAGAACCGTAGATGCTGCATTAGATTAGTCTATTTGACATAGTACGTAGTGATATTGTAGTATTTACTAGATGATAAATAATAAATGTATACCATTGTGAGCTATGTCAGATACGCCAACTTACTATGATGTAGTTAACCTGACGGCTACCGGGGAGATCGAAGATGCGGGTCTCATCCTACTTGGTACTCGCCAGCTGGATATACCTGCGTCCCAGTGAGTGGTAGTGTTCCCACTGGGACTCAAATCCAGTGTCTGTCACTTCAAGTGCCAAAGCGTCATCCATTAGGCCATGGGGGACAAGAGCTCCCTCTTGTACAACGGGTATCAAGTTTCACTTGGTGATACTTACCATCTCCTGTTTTTATAGAGGATGGAATTGCTCGACCTCCACTGGCAGACAATCTCTTATGCGGATGAATTAAGCTGTTCGACCTAGTAAAACAATGGAAGGTTACAAGTAATACTGAATAACCCAATATGGAATGACGTACTACCACAGTGCCCAAGTGTGAAGATATACAGATGTTATAAAAGATATATTCGTGACTGTTAATTAATAAAGAACGGTTTTATCAACAAGAAATTAGGAGAAGGTAGAGCATAAACAATCTTCTCGTCAACGTGGATACTGATTTCAACGAATCAGTACAGTCGAAATTGTTTTTTTGGGCAAAACACTAACTATTTAGTATATAATTAATCAGTATATCAAGTTGTTGGTATAAGTAGGCAATATACTAAATTTCTAGAGTCAAGACAGAAAAACTGGTTATCATTTCTCGCCCTATCCTATTAGTAGCGGAATCCAATATTTTTATCTTATCTTACTGTTGACCCGTCGTTTGAGTGCATTTTTATCCTGCTCCATATTAGCATTAGTACTTTATCTTGAACTAAATGTTCATTGGTTTAAAATTAATGTTATCCATTCGGTCAATTTCTTATCACACTTAACCTCTCTGAAAACAAATATTTATTTTCCAGGATACTATTTGAAGATTATTGTATCGATTTACCATGTTGAATTGGTTGATATATTTAGAAATATGTTGTTTTGTGTACCTTGGTATTGATTTCAACTACACAAAGGTAATATTCAGCATGTGGCCATCTGAAGAATTGAATGTTAGACAGTCAGTGATCACTGGAATGCATATCCACGTATTGGAAAGATTCAAAACTGAAGTCAATAAGTGACAAAAATGACATTAGCACATTTTCTCATCAAACTTAAAACCTGCATTCAAACCATTTTGCAAGCAAATTAACAATTTTTAAAGTACATTTAGTTCATTCAGTAGTCTTGCACAGTTTTAGAATAAAACATTCGTTCAATATAGTGAACTTGTGTATTCCTATAATGTCTAGTGTCGCACAAACTTGAAGATCTTAAGGCGAAAACTAACAAGTTGACAGAAGAGTCATGGCAGCGAAAACGGGACTTTAAGTGAATGTAGAGAAGACGGAGGTGATGAAGATGCCCAAACAACAACCTAAAGGAAGTAGTCTCTTTCACCGACACCTACCCAGGCAGGGCGACATCGTTTCAACTACAGACAGTGGCACAGATGAGGATGTTAAAACCAAGATCGGAAAAGTGAGACAGGCTTTCATTAATCTGAAATCAGTGTGCAGATCTGCTGCACTGCACTCAGCATAAAGCGTGGACAAGATCCGGATTTTCAACGCCAATGTAAAGTCAGTGCTGCTGTATTATTCAGAAACTTGACGCGTGACGAAAAACATTTCCAACAAACTACAGACATTCATCAACGGCTGCCGCCTACGCTAATTCTATACTGAAGATCAGATGGCCAGAATAGTCAGAATAAACAACAAGGAACTCTGACTGGGAACGAATCAACCATGAATCCATTGCGCAACAAATATGTAGAAGAAACTGGAGATGGATTGGGCACACACTGAGAAGGCCGACTAGGGACATTATGCGCCAGGCCAGGTCGTAGAGTGGAAGCTAAATGGGAAAAGACGAGTTGGGCTTCCGTAGAGAGGGTGACATGAAAGAGACCATGTGGGAAGAAATGAAAGCTTGTAGGCAATGGTGGAGCCAGACTTAAAAGACTACAGAGAATAAAGTGCAAGGGAGACGTGCTACTGAAGCCCTATGTTTTACTCAGGACCGAAGGGAAAAAAATAATAAATGTATTCTTATGATTACTTTAAGCAGGAATAATAATGAACAAATAAATAAAATAGTTTAACAGAAGACATAGAAAACGAAATTTTCGAAGCACATGAAACCAATGAATCAAAAGAGTATAGAAAACGACAAGTTAACAAACTGTAGATGAAATCAATGCTGACCTATATACGACTAAAGGGAATATCTTAAAAGTATAGTTAGGGGAATATGGGTCGGTGGTTACTGGCTTACAAATCATGCAACCAAGCTATGTAATAAAAATAACAGCAGATCAAATGTTAAGTCAGAGGAATCAGCAGGACGTACCAATGCACAGTAAAACACTTAGAGAGCGGTTTCGACTGTTAAAGAAGGGAAAGGCTGGTCAACCCTTTTTTCTGCACACTGGTTTAATCTGCAATATTTGATTTAATCGACCGTTGTAAAGGAAGGAAGACTTCAAATTTACTATCCTGAAGACTCTTTGATCTTAATTTCTTATCCTGAATTATCTCAACTATCCAACTGACTGATGACAATAATCACTACTTATTCATCCGAACTAAAAATGTTACAATGCCTAGCTTCCACTGAGTAAATAAATGTTCTTCACATGAAAAGCCAATAAAGTGTAAAGAGCCTATTAAAATCAATTTATTGACATAAACATTCAATCTACAGGTACACCAGTTCAAAGTCAACCAGGTAGTCGCCTTGGCACACCAGCTGCGTTTACTGATCACGTTTCTGGAGTAAACAATCAACAAACAGTTATTGGACCGACAAAAGTTATCAGTAACCTAAATGTGATAACCACTACAAAAAGGATGTCCGAAAGCACAGAAGTTCCTACGCAAAATGGATGGAAATCGGAGAAGACGAAACTAGACGTGGTGGAAAGTAGTAATATGGCCCATGTGAATGCAACGGCACGAGTATGGTACAGACCAAAATTATCGAGAGAAGAAGGCAAGTCAAAATATAGGCAAATGTTCTGTTAACTCCAGTCATAACGTTTCAATGATTTTTTTATGAGTTTATTTCTTGTGATTTCTCTAGACGTTTGATAAAACATCCATGGTCATATACCAGATCTAAGTGATGCTCTTTGAGGTTCACCCTGTTTATCTCATACATTTCTTAACTACATGAAACCCTGTAAACTAGAATCTGTTTAGTGGATGTTTCCTAACCGACATTCAATTTCACTTATACGTTAAACAAACTAACGACTTTGTGTGCTTCTATATGAAGGAATGAATGTATAAGTAGAGTTTGGCTAGCCCGATATCAATAATTTTCAGTTAAGAACTAAATATGGAAACCATTATATTCGTTAAAATGAGATATCAGGTACTCACCATTTAATTTTTTAATACATTCTGTTTCGGTCGTAAATGTTTGAGGTATCCTATCAGCCACCTACTTAACATACAATATTAACTGGAACACAATCACATTGAAAACTTAGAATGACCAGACTAAGACTTTGAACCAATCTATGAAATTCCTAAGTGCTTAGATTATTAGGGCATAGAATGTCTATTTCTTGTACAAGACCATCAAGACGAACGAGGCAAACAGCTGGACGCTGTATGGTATGTAAGGTTTAAAATCTATATTTGTACATATCACTTGACCTTTGCTGTTTTGAGATAATGAATGGTTGCATCTATTTTTCCTCTTCATGTTAACTTCCACATCGATGTGCTGATGAGAAGTTAGGATTACATCAATCAATACACAACAACACAGGAGGTCTTATTGTGAACTTCACCGTTTGATATTCTGTTATGACAACTTTTCTTGTTGAAGAAATAAAACCATGGAACGACTTCTATGCGCTTCCTTGAAATACTTCTCTCACTTACGTATTTTTTACAGCACACCCTGAATGTGTTGCTTTAACACTTCTGAATGTAATTAGAAATTAAGTCCATATTAAGTCATTGGTAGGTTATTTCTATTTTTGAAAGAAGTGGATAGGTTTTCACGTCAAATAATATTAAAGTAGCGTAGAAAGTAAATCTTTTGAGATTGTCAGTTAAACTATGCAAGTTTAAAAGTGGCCTCATTGAAAAGGTATTTATCGTCAAAGAACATAGAATCTCTGTGGAAAGTACGACTACTAACGGTTTCTTAGATTACAATTTTTTAATGAAGATTGTGTGATTAAGTGAATGTTTCCGAACGACAAATAACGCTTGTGTTTGATAAAAAACCCATTCAGGTAGAACAAACGGTTTTTTGACTCCTATTCATAACTTGGAGTATTTTTAAGTTGATGACTTCTCTCGCTTTAAAATGGAATCTGGAGCTTAATACGGTAAAATTATTGCTGTATGCTTTTGTGAGTGACTTGATCATTTCCTAGAATAAATTTTTCTAAGAACAAATGACACTGGGATTTCCAACCTAAGCAGCATCTTCTACACTCAAATCACTATAGTAAAAGGCTTAAGAGTTCACCGAATGTCACTCATTACTGTAAAATGAAGCTTCTAGTGTAATCGTAATTTATATTTTATTTCGGAATTCAGTTACGGAAGACCAACTTTAAAGGTCACCGTGGGAACCCCTGAAATAACCAATCAGCTTTCAGTATTTTGGCTGCGACAGTTATTTTTTATAAAACGCAGTACAGTAATTGGTTATCTCATCAGTTTTTAGGGTGGCCTGTAAAAGAACTAATCGATATGTTGGTTTTGGCAAGCCTTCGATACTGTCGCCACTGCTACAAAGTTTCAATAACTTCAACCTCAGATGTTTATCGACTTTCATATTACTTTACGTTCTAATTAGTCATCACTTAGACTGGCTCTAAAGTCTAGCCTAGCAACTGCTGGAATGACCAATTAGGTTTCTTTATTTTGATTGGAAAGGTAGATTTTCACAGAGCACAAGAATCTTATTCGTGATTTCAGTTTTTGTTAGGATGACCTTAAGAGTCACTCAGTTATTCTCGTTGATACATGATTATCCTATGTCAGCCGGTTATTTTGTCGTCGTTACATTATCTCTTTATACTACCTGCTAACAACTAACTATTATTCTTCAACCTACTTTCTTCTTTATTAGCTATCAGTATTTTACGCCAACAAGTCCCGGGGAGTTTTCTCATCCGAGATAGCACAACGTATAAGGATGCATTTGGTCTAGCCGTTAAAGTTGCTACTCTTCCACCGAAAGTTACACCAAAATCTGGTAAGTGTACCTTTATGTACGATATTAGAGTATTAAAGTATGTACACATGGATAAACACGTTTGTCTACATAAAATTCTATTTTTTTGATTCTGTTCAGCTTGCAAAGTGTACTGCTTGCAGCATTTCAAAAAATGTATGTATATGTAGCATGTTGCTTCATTGTTTTACTAGTTTCAGTCCTCTTATCACTAATACTAATTCAACTGATAGAAGTAATAGTAGTATTTCATTAATGTTGCATTTATATAAAATTCCGAGTTATCTGAATACTGTAAAAATAACTAAGTCTAACCTCTTAATACGGACAAATGAAACTGCTTTTGGGTCTACATGTCAGATCAACTTCCGTTGAACGACTGAAACAAACCAAAATGAGAAGCATACCTAAGTTTTCATCCAATATTCAGTCCAACTTCATTCTGCGCTTATATAAGACTGATTTTTTGACTTTTGTGTTCACAGCTGTTGCTGAGTTTACTTTTCCAATGCAATAACGTCTTTACTGTCATTATCCCTGTGCTTGAGTGACATCAAATTTTTGTGAAAATTTGCTTTTAACTGAGACAAATAGCAAACAGCGTTAAGCTTGGGAAATCTGTTGAATTCTTCGCATACTGTGTTAGTTATTTTCACTACCATAGTGTTAATGAACCTTGAATTAGAAAAGCAGGTTAACGATTAAAATTGTAGCTATGTTTCCCGACTATTCACTAATGCGTTTAAGATAATCTACAGTTCCTGTGTTTCAGAGGAATTCATAAGAAGGATAATAAGTTAAAAAGTATATAGTCTGGATTGAACTTCAAGCACGTCGAAAATTGTACTGTTTTCCATTGATGGTGATTGATTAAATTTATCTCCTGGTCAGTTCTAAGGGTTAAATCAAAAGGTCACTAGAAAAATTCACCTGAAGAAAATCAGAAATCGCTAAGGTTATGAACCATTCATATTTGTTGACCCTCTTCTTCTTTCAAAAATGTTAGTGGAAATACTCAGCTGAGTATGTAAATGTTCCAATGATGATTTTGCTTCAAGTTGCAACAATTCACTAGTTGTTATTATCCTCAATGTAAGCTCATAAAACTACAAAAATAATAGTTTTTTCTTATTACCAATTTCAACAAGCAGAATCAATTAGTCAGAAAGACGAAGTATCAGTTGTTTAGTCAAACTTCAATCAGGCAGCAAACAAATAATCAAAAAATTTATCTCTTGCAAATACAGAATTTACACTGAAATCGACAACTTGACTTTCATTGAAGGTTTTACTATCACAGATTGCTGCTTGAATAAAAGTCCATCAACAAATAAATATTTTGTTGTTAAATAAACTTATTTTAACATATAGCTAGCATTTTTTATAACCACAAAGGATATGAGTTGGGATTGGGAAGATACGGTTGATTTTGATCATTATTAATAAAAAAATTGTTTATTGAACATATATTTTGCTTAGTAAAAAAGTAATTGATGAGCAATGCAAAAAGTAGTCTAATTTGATCATTTTCTAGAAGGATACTCCTATCCAGTCCTTACCAGAAAAATGGTATATAAAACATTCACAGACATTTCTCCCTGTTTGACGTCAATCCCCATGGACATGACTTGGTGATCTTAGTGTCCTCTTAGTTGGATACTGGGTGCAGCACCACTGAATCCGTTTAACTGAGTTATAATTATTCTCTGAGATATTCCTTTTCATTACATATTTGAAATATGAGGCTGTGAATTTTCAGTATTTTTGTGGCATATAAAGTTCTTGCTGTTGAAATCTTGAATTTATTACAGACATATTTTAATTGTCTGGTGCTATCTTTAGGAACCATATTGAATATATGTTTGAGTATTTCATAGTCAACGATAGAATCGTATAATCGGCCAACCTGTTAATAATAATAGTAAAGGTTAGATCTGAAGAGTCTTTTTGTCACTGTACACTGTGTATTTCGTCAGGAAAAGTAAACACCGTCACAGAGAATGTAAACATTCAGGAGGTGCGAGTGGTAGCTACCTGTCAATAAATATAGTCGATGTATTGACTCTTTAAAGGTAATTTTTGGGTTAATGTCAATATCTACATGGACCTGGCATTTCTGCGTAACAGTTCGAGTTGCCATACTTCTTATCAGTCCATTGAGAGAGAATGAAGTAAAAAGAAAAACAGAAAATTAAAGAGGAAAGCAGTCAGAAATGGTAGAAAGTCATGAAAAGTGAACAATGAGGAGTGAGACAATAATGGGTTTGGTATGACCAATAGCTGCTAGCTTAATGTGGTGGTCAGGCTTACATATTATGATGGCTTGATGAGCTATGCGGGTAGAACACTTGTTTTCTTGAGGCAGTGAGGAAACTCTATTTATTCATACCTAATGCCCAGCTAAACGGCTACTAATGCGGTATGTATTCTTTCACAAAGTACTTTCATCTTACCAGCTGGCAATAAAGTAAACCGCATATACTAATAATTTGCAAACGCGCACAGAGTAGTGCTACCTACTTAGTGACACTAATAACTACAATCGCTCTAGTCTTCTGGCATTTTTATAGCTCACATCCCTTAGTCTAGTGCACAGTGTATTCTTTATTATTGCAAAAAAGCATGTAATTTCCTGCTTCATAGCCAAAGTTAATTTCCATCTGTCCGAAAATCTAACTTTTAGTAAGTAGCCTAGGGGTTGATGGTTTGAATACTAACAAAATCTGAGTGATTTGATAGGCTACCCCAACAACTGCATACATGACCAATTAGGTTTCTCTTTTTCGTTTCAAAGGGTAGCTATCTCTTGAAATAAAGAAATTAAACTGCCTACTTTAGTTTAGTTAGGGGCTGACAATGAATCTAGGACGCTTGTCCCGTCTTATTTGGAACTCTTCCGCTGGATGCGACTGCACCTCAATGAGTGATGTTGTTGACACTGAAACTCAAACCCAGTATTCATCGCTCCAAACGGCAGAACGGTATTCACTAGTCCACTGGGACACGAGAGCCACCACCTGTCCAACGGGTATCATTTTTCTTTTATTTACACTTATAGTTTTTCGTTGTTATACTAGGTTGAATTGCTCGACCTCAGTTGGCAGATGGGCTCCAATGCGGAAGCCTCGGTACTGCCCGGATATGCATTATAGTGTAGTCCATTTGGTGGCTATCAGTATAGCAACGGAAAATTACTAGTACCAATGGACGGCCATTCTAGTAGTTACGAAGTTGGCTTTTAGAGTCACTCCGAAATCCAGGTTCACTACCCACTTCATTCATCCCTACCATTTTAATAAATATCGGTGTGCCGGACGAGACTGTCATAATTATTTGGTATTCTCGGAGACTTGAAGTTTGATTTGGATGTTCCGTTACCGCGCTTGATGACTTCATCAGCCTCTGCTTCGTGCAGAAGTGAAGCATATTTAGGTTGCATGAATTTTTACCACAGACCTAGAGTGTTATCCGGTTGTGAGTAGGAGTGACGACCACTTCTTTTTTTACCAGAGGTTGACATTTATCATTGTTTTCTGTAGATCGAGTCAGTGTTGAAGAAGAAACCTCAAACCTCGAAGAACACCAAACACTTATCGTCCTCATCCGGAGCTGAAAAAGCTCTACTATCTCAAAACCGAGACTGCCCCACACAGATAAACCACAGTTAATTTCGGCCTCATGAATAACTTTTCAAGTTCATATATACATTCGGGATGAATGACTCTTAGGACTAGTCTAACAGATGCTGAGATAACCAATTACATTTCGTTATTTTATTAAAAACTACCTTCCTAGCTAAAATGTGAAACCTGACTGGTTATCTCAGCAGTTGTTAGAATCACTCATGTTTACAGGTGAATTAGTTACCTTTGTCCCGTTTATTACTTTCAAATCTACGTTTGAAGTCTTGAATTCCGATAGGATCACGCTCATTAATCCTTCACACTTCAAATATTGACTGTAAGTTGATAGTTAGAGAGTTCAAGTAAAGATACTCTAGATGACTTAAACAATATCGTCGGCGCAGTAATGTAAGGCTTCTAAGTTCCTGTTGAAATAAGTGGTGAATGTAAGTCTGTTTTCCAGTTTAAGATAATTAAGCTAAAGGGAAATAGAAATTTTGCTGGTTAAATTAGCTGTTGTCTCCCTAGGTCTCTGAATGCTAATTTCGAAGCTGATTTCTACTGGGCGTTTGATTACATCAAACACTTAGTAAGTACTTCATATTTCCATACACTCAGAAGCTTAGATGAATAGATGGACTGTTAATGGTTTTTCTGTAAATATTTGACACTAAATTTTCATGGATTGTGACGCCAGGTAGCATGATAATTCTTATAAGTAATATTTAATCGCTTATTGAATGCTTACACCACCGTTAACTCATCTCTATCCTATGCTGTCATCTACGCTGCTTACAATATTAGTTAGCTATACTAATTAATGCGAAAAGTAACTTGTTGAATTATTCAACTCTCATTAATCTCCTCACTGATTCATCCATCAGCATTTGACCTCCTCACAGATATTCATTGAATAAATTTAAGTTGATAGAAAAGCATAGTTTACTTTCCTTCTTTTATTCATTTTTCTTCATTTCTTTTTGTAGGTTTTACCAAATTTGTCAGAAGCATTTTCAGTAAGAAAAAAGGAAATAAGGATCATATTTTCCTCATAGAAACTTTCTTCTTCTTCTCTTTATCTTACTTCTTTCGCACGCTTCAGGGATGCCTTCAGCACCATGCTTGTATTTGCCGCTGTTGTTGTTCATGTTGCTATTGCTGTTGTTCAAATCTATATAGTATCCGCTACATAATAGTTTCATTTTTGGAACGTGCACCTGTTGGCTAGCATACGCATTTACTCAACCTTCCTTGACCAATGTTCAACAACTATTTGCTTGTCTAGAACAATAAGGTCTACACGTACTCAGCCATGTGTATGAGATTCATTTAGTTTTAGGGATAAACACTGTTTTTACTAATTCCAAACAGTATATATGGTTAAAGGTATATGAGATGCTTTCTCTTTTACAATTCTCTTGGAGGTAGTGAAATGTAATAACCTTGAAAATATTTGCTAGACTTTGTGAACCACACACAAATATTCTCACCAGCTAATTCACGGCTTTAGATTCCTGTAAATAAAATGGCCGTTCAGTAATTCATTGCTGAAGGGACTGTCCTTGGGAAAAGCTTCATGCTCTTGTACACTTCCTAAGTCGGATTAACCTTAATGAGTATGATGCCTTAAGTCTGACAGGTGCTAAAAGACCTACTTTATACATGTATAAAGCAGTATATTCACTGAAAGTATTTTTAATCTATTTGATTCAAAATAGCAGTCATAACCAACTATCTGACAAAATAAAGAATCCCAATTACTTAGCTATTCGAATGACTAAATTGGATAGGAACTGTCAGTTAGAACAATGGCAATTTAAGTTATCTTCTAAGTGCATGACAGTATGCTTCTCTTGGTGTTGAAGACAGCTACCTGTAAATAACATTATCACAATACTGCTCGCATAGATCTTGTTTCCGTGCAAATAAAAATACCACATCTTCTATGCTTGATTGCCCTCATGGGTGTTAGCATTAAGTAGCTTGCTATGTTACTACAATATGGTGGAATCAGTTAAGGTGCAAATGACTTCATCCTCATTTTACTCGACTTCATCAGCTCTATTAACCGGTAGATGCCTTCATTAAAAAATGTTGCATTAATTCGTTTCTGATTACACATGCATGATCAATGAAAAAAAAAACACTTTCCATGTCATATTCTCATTGATAGGTGCCTTTTTTCCAAGTGGTCGGTTTGTTGTATTCATGGATCTTACGCCTTGTACTAACAGGGTGGTATTTTTCTAAGAAAGATTGGCATGTATGCGTTTCACTCAGTACTTGATCCCCTCTTGTTCAGTTTCAGTTTTTTAACACTCAACCAATGTGACTCGTATTGCATGTTTCATCAAACCCCTCAGTTGTGTTTGCTAAGTTTGTATGTATTGTTTTTGTGAAACATGACTGATTGAGCAAAGCTTAAATTTATCGAAATAATGTAAATAGCAGTGTTCATGTATAGGGAAGTAATTTTCGGTAATCAGTTAGTTAACTTGGTGCAAATGTTGTAAATGACTTCAACCACCAAGTGATTGTGTAGACGTTGTTGTTTTCTATGTTGCTGCTTGTGTTATCGCATCATTGATTGGACTAGTTGACGCTTTCCAAACAAGACGAAATGTGCGACCTGGATTCCACTACCAGCCCCTAACCATCACTGATATAAAAGTTATTGGCTTCTTTCAACTGTCTACTGCACTGATCAAATTGTCCATATCTTTCTAAACAACTTCATTCTCCTGGACTTTGTAGACGTTTTAAAGTATATCTGTCATCTGTGCACACATTATGAAGGGTTAATGCTTTATTTAAATCTAAGTGGATGAAATTATACAGTTTGGCATTAGTGACGTAAAATAACTCAGTCTGAACAGCATAATTCTACCGAAAGTCCTTTTCCACCTTAGAAATTCATCTTAAGATTGGATACCAGTTTTTATAGATAATTACCATTCTCTTCTATTGGTATGAAACACAGTTTACTAGCATTAATTAACTGAGTATATCAACTCACAAAGTATTCTAAAATTAACATAAAAATTGGGTAGAGCTTTGGTTATTTAGAAGTCTTTTAACAAAAGGACAATCAATTTTGTAATTAATGTACACTGATAGACCACTTTATTTTACAGAGATATCCATAGCAGGGTTGTACATCCTTCCTCTTTCTTTCACTTAGTTCACTTCAGTCTGTCTACTGAAGCTTTAAGTAATTAAAAATCTTGAAAAGATGTAGTTCGTCAATTTTTGACGAATCGGATGATTACAGTTTCAAACTTTACTGAAAATGACTCATTTTACTGGTTGTACTGTGATTGTGAATTTTAATTTTGCTCCGATCATTGTGTGTATGCAGGATATAGCTTCTTCACTGTATGCCCAGATATTGAAATGTACTGTCCATTTTGACTAATCGGAAAGAGGAATTAAGGTCTGAACAGCTCTCAGGATTAGCATACTCTATGGGGTTACAAATTTACCTTAGAGTACTAAGTCGTTAAAGTCATCTGCATTTCGGTTAATTATTTGAATGAAGTTATGACATACTTCGGTTAACTAAATGCTCTCAGACTGCACATTTATATGTAGAAATGACACAAATACTTACCACTATAGTTACCCTTACAGATTAAAATAATCAAACCGTAGCATGTCATTAGACGAGAGGCTTATCTGGCTCTCAGATAAACTAAATTTGGTCACTAAGTACTACTGAAAGTTCTTTCTGGTTTAATAATACTCATATCAGTGAGTAGTAACGTTAATAGCTTTTATTTTGTGCAACTTAACCCCACTTTTTAGTGTCCAGTAAATCACACATTGTTTTGTGAATATTTTAGTTTTCGAAGGAAACCTCAAAGAAGTTTCATATTACTGGTTCATTAAAGGATATACAGTTTACAAATATACTATTTCTTAGCATTTCGCACACGTTACACGAATCTCAGTGGTTATGGACATATAATGTCTAAAAGATCTAACATTTAGCATGTTATTCATTTGGCTACTATACTGCTCATTTTAATGTGGTCAAGTGTACAAATATACCTATCCGGCTGATAAATGGAAGTTAGTCGAAAGTTGAACAACTTAAGTAGTAAATGAATTGCAATTTATTCTTCAATAGCTAACTGTACTGTATATCCTGCTACAAACGAGAACCATCTGTTTTCCTTACCTCGTCGTAAACAGCTGAAGAGCTGTCCAGTTTCTTCTGTATTGCATTATAAGTTATTTCTTCAGTTTAAATAAATGACAATATTCATCATCACGGTAAAAGTAGCTTTGAATTGAAATTGAAATTAACCTCATGAAGTCAAAACCTGCAGAACAAGGCTGTTTTTACAATTTACCAGTAGGTGTAAAAAAGGAGACTGAAGGGCAATTTAGCCTCATAATCCATTTCTAGCTTACGTTACATTGTTTTGACTGGCTGGCTTTAGTGCAGTGATGGTAATCGATTACGAAAGACTACCTAAGTGACAAAAGGTTTACAATCATTAAAGTTCTGTTTCTTATAAATGAGTTGTCATAGTTGTGTGGTTGATACTATTTGGACATGAAAAATACTTTCCTGTAAGGAAATTATTTTAAGGAATTATACTCATCCTACAGTTCTTGTAGCTTCATCTAGGTTCTAATTGGAAACTGCTAAAACCCATTAGTCTGAGTAGTATCCTCAATACAACTGGGTATATGAATCTGAACGAGATGAAACTGTAAATCCGAATTGCTGGTGTCTGAAACAACTTATTTGGGGGGGGGGGAGTAACAAAAAATCAGGTTATAACACCAGACCTCGTTCTCAGATTATATGAAGACCTAAAAATGTAAACCCCATATTTTCATTTTGATTCATACATCAGTCTTGAGCTCACTTTCCAACAGGAATGGATACAGCTATGGTCAAACTTAGTGAAATTTGTCTTAGTGGTTCACTCGCAGTATCATTCTCATACTCATTATTTTAAGTGTTCCATAACTTCACAACTAATTTCATTATTTTGTTGTAATGATACCTTTTTCATTTTTTCTAGATGATCTTCAGTCTGAATTGGTTCGGCATTATCTAATTGAGGCAGTGAATACCCCAACTAAAGGTGTACGTCTAAAGGGTTTTGCCAGTGAGCCAGTATTTCCAAGTCTAGCTGCCCTTATCAATCGACATACACAAGATGCTCTAGCACTACCATGTCGTCTAATCCTTCCAGCCATTCCAACTACACCCTTACCTCAAGGATATAAACCTCCACCGCAGATTGTGACCGGTATCCCATCGAGTAATGCAGATATACCGATAAGTAATCATGTTTCACGGACTGACAATGAATATAGTTTAAAAGTAGACAGTGCTACTGGACCAGTTTCAGAAATAGGTTCAGTTTTAATGGACAATACTGAAATAGACTGTACGAAATCAATTATAGAAACCTCTACAGTTGGCATAGAAGGTCTACCATTTGAGTGTGTAGTAAAAGATGATCAAAACAAACAAATGGTGTCACCAAGTTTACTCAACCAAGGAATGAGTAAGTTTTGAGTCATCAGTATTGTTTTCAGTCATTTATAAATGAGTCAGTTCTGTTAGATTATGACTTCACCTCATATAAGCTAGACCTATTTTCTATAAATGGTGATCAGGGTCAAACATATGATTCATAGCTGACTATATCTAGGTTCATAAAAATGTCTATTTTTGATTCTGTTATTATTATTACTCTTTGTCCTTTGGGTTCCTAGTCGCCATTTCACTCTCTGCTCTACAGTCTTTTCAACCTCGTTCCACGACTGCCCACAAGCTTTCATTTCTTGACCACAAGATCTCCTCTATGTCACCCTCACCTCGGACGCCCAACTCGTCGTTTCCCATTTGGACTCCACTCGAAGGCTTGGCACATGGTGTCCCTGAATGGTCTTCTCAGTGTATGTACAATCCATCTCCACTTTCTTCCGCATATTTGTTGGGCCATGGGTTCGTTGCGAGACCAGAGTTCCTTGTTGCTTATTTTTTCTGGCCATCTGATCTTCAGTATCGAGTGATGGTAGGTGGTAGCTGTTGATGAATGTCTGTAGTTTGTTGGAAATGTTTCCGTAACACGCCAACTCTCAGTCACATAGAAGCACTGATGTGACTGAATTGGTGTTGAAAATCTGGATCTTGTCCTTCATGTCGAGTGCAGTGCAGTGCAGATCTCCACACTGATCTCAGATTAGTGAAAGCCTGTCTTTCTATCTTTCCGATCCTGGCTTTGACGTTCTCATCCGTGCCGCCTGTAATTTAAAAGATACTGCCTTGCCTAGGTAGGTGAAAGATACTACTTCCCTTAGGTTTCTCTAGTTCATGGTGATTGGTGCTTGTTGTTGTTTGGGCATCTTCATCACCTCCGTCTTCTCTACGTTCACCTGCCTTCTCTGCCAACTTGTTAGTTTTCGCCTGTAGATCCTCCAGTTTGTACAACAAGACATTAGACATAAAGCGTCACCGACGGAGAAATATAAATCTTCTAGGGTCTTTTCATCTCATCGGCTAAACAGCGTATGCCCATCTTCTCACAGCTCCCCGCAGTTTGGTGCACGATCCAGTCCTATCCAGCTCATCTGACCGCTATCACGAAGATCATCGGTGATAGTAGGAGGCAGCCTAATTTTAATCCTTTCTTCACTTCACTTCAAAGATATCACTGAGATTTCCATTGTGAATCACTTGACATGTAGCATTGCCATCATCATATAGCATATAGCTGCTGTTCAGTGAGGTTGGCTGCACTAAAACCATAGTGTTGAAACAGCTGCCTGTCAAATCACTTCCTGGTCGATGCTGTCGAAGGCCTTTTCAAAATAGATGAAGTTGAGGCAAGGTAGAGTTGAGTTGACTAACATTCTATGCTGTGTTCTATGAAAATGCGTCGCGTTGCGTTGCAATTTGATCTGCACATGATTTGTTCCTTCTGAATCTACCCTGTTCCGGTAGTATTTTAAATCCAGAGCATTTTAAAGTCCCTCCAAGATGATCCGGCTTAAAATATTGCTTGGTGTGGACAGGGACAGGAGTATGATTTCGCGTCAGTTCCTGCAAAGACTTAAATCGCTCTGCTTTGGAAGTTTGACAAGGCAACCCTTCCTCCTTTAGTTGGTTGGTACCTTTCTTTCCTTCCAAACCTTCTGTAACAGTGGTGTGAGCATATCTGCTGTTGTACCTGTGTCTGTCTTCAGTGCTTCTGGCGGAATTCCATCTGGTCCGAATGCTTTCTCGGCTTTCAGCAACTTTATGGTGTTCAGAACTTCTGCTTTTGTCGGAGGGTTTGTGTTCACTGGTAATTCTGTGGCCGAGCTGCTGGTGGTATTTCCGGACAAGTTGAAGGTGGTGGTCGATTCAACAGTTTTTTGAGGTAGTCAGCCCATCGGTTCCTTTGTTTCTTGTCTTTGGTAACTAATTCTCCTTCACTATCATCTTTTATTGGTTTCATCTGTGTTGCACTCTCCCCAGATAGTAACGTGGTTATTTGATATAATGCTGTCTTTTGTCTTTTCGTGCACTCTTCTGCACTTCATTGTCTAGCGTTTCTTAGGTTCCACTCAATTCCTCTTTTCGTTGTTCATTCCTCCACTGCACTGTACTGCACTGGTTCATCTTCTGCTTCTCCATCTTCCTCTCCCTCCTCTATCAGCTTCCATGTATCCGTCGAGATACATTCCTTGTTTCGTCTTGCTTCTCCTTCCTTCCTAACACGGTTATGCAGGTTTCTTTCCACATCCCTTTCGCAGAGTTCCAGCGTTCTTTCGAGCAGGTTTCTTCAGGGATGTTGCCTAGTGTCTCTTATTTTTCCCTGATGGCTGATGTGAAGGTGTCCTTTGTAGTTTCGTCCTTCACTTTCTCATCTGGATGTTGAACTTGAACTGTGGTCTATCACAAGCTTCTTTGAGTTGAAAGCTTTCAACTTGGTATGAAACAACAGTTGCTTCCTATCTTGATCTTGTGTCAAGTAAGCTGCGTCTCCACTTTCTTCACATTGAGATGAAGTCGATCTGATCTTTAGTGTGTCCATCTGGTGAAATCCATGTCGCTTTGTGAATATCCTTGTGTTTGTACACAATGCCTCCAATCACCAAATTGCTGAATGAGCGGAATTCTGCAAACAATTCTCCATTCTCATTCATTTTACCGAGCGCTTCTCGACTCATGATGAGTTCTCTTCCTGTGTTGTCAGTTTGGCATTCATGTCACCCATTAGAACTTTGATGTCGCCATCTAGGGTGGGACTTTGTCTATTACTGATTCCAGTTGTCTATAGAAATCCTCCTTCTTCTCTTCATCTGCATTAATTGAAGGTGCATAGTGTAGCAATATATGATTGTGACTTTCATGCCCTTTGAGCTGAATCTTGCTGTCATGATTCTAGAGGGGATTGGACCCCACTGCATGACAGCTTTCGATGATAGCCACTCTAATACTCAGTGTGTTCTTGGTTGTCGTCCGGGTGGCAATATCGGAGTAGATCATTGATTCTCCAGTTAAGAGTTTGGAGAGTCCACTTCTATTCCATCCGCAGATTCTTCGCAGATTCCAAGCACTTCCATGCCATACCTACTCATCTCTTTCACAATCCGGGCAGCCTTGCTAGGTTCATACATGATGCAGACATTCCATGTCCCCATGTTTACTTTCGCTTTCATCAAGAGAAGACACATCAGTCAACTGGCTTCATGAAGGCTTTCACCAATCGCCGTCATTTCATCTCTCCGATTCTGCGAGGAATGATTTTGTCTTTATTTTTCATAATTTCTTTGTGCTTTGAAGTTTCTGTAGCAGTTGGATTGGTTTTACGGGGTAGGGTTGCTAGGCCTTTGCTTACTTTCCCTCTTTATCTGGGCTTAGGATCCACTAGTAAACCAGGCGAGGTTACCTTTGATTCTTGTCACGTTGTAATTCTAGTTCCTTCGGTAAGTGGTGTACGGTGGTTTTTTCTTCAGTTCTTTGAAGCTTGATTCGATTTTTTGGATTGTTTTGAAGGCATTTTGATAGACAGAAGAGTTCGTGGGATGTTTCAGAAGACAATTAGTCATATATTTCCAACCTAAGCAGTGTACTTCTACTGATAGCCTAGTCATTGATATATAAAGGACAAACTGATGCATGAAGCTACATAAGGTTACCTTTACTGGCTTCTTTTTCTGGGGCTAAGTGTTTTGATTATAACATATACTTGCTTTAGAAATCTGCTCACAAACCCTATGCAACACAACTGTAATGGGGATATAAAATCAAAACAACTCAAAGGAGTCTGAGTTACACTAGTGTGACTCTAAAATATTAACGGTTTGAGTTGAATAATTGGAGAACTTCTCAACACTACAAAGGTTGTTACCATGGCACACTGACTTATAAGAAGTTGATTACTTCGAAGTGACTAATCAGTTTATGTAATACAGTTCTGCAGGAGGCCTACTGCCCATAAACTTCTCTGACCACAACATTAGATGACGTGGGTTTGAATCCCAAGTTTTCAGATACACCTTGCTGATGAGTTGCAGTAAACACAATGCCTAAGTTAAACAGGGCTTCCCGCTGATCGCCTCTAACCAACTAACATCTGTCTAAAGTGTTTTGCTATGATGAACCTCTTAACCTGATTGTCGCACTACAAAATGACCAATAGAATTGAGTCAGCACTCAGAACTAGAAAACATGTAAGTGGTTGCTCTCCAGTGAGCAATAGTTCATATATCTTAAGTTGGTAGTGAAACTCAACAAATACTGGATATCTTTTTTCTTGTTATAGTACTAAGTTGAACAGTCATGAGTAATATCTACACAAAACTAACCCAGGGTAATAGGTACACTGTTTTCAAAATTATGAGCTTACCATCTGCGACTTCAGGCAAGTAATCAAATAACTCATCCTACTACAGTTGATCTCTACCAAGGATATTGCATAACTATTGGTCAATACATACCGAAACTTCAAGTAATCACCTTTCTACTCTGTCATTTTTACAGTTTAGAGATCATCTGAGACTATGAACTATTGATTTCTATCAAATTCTAAAAAGAATTTTGATTAAAAGCCAATGAAAATCTACGATTACTAAGCTTTATCATAAGTTGACAGGGATTGAAAACGTCAATCAGTTGAGTCCAGTGACAACATATAAAAATTAATACACTTATAATGCAGCCTTAGAGTGTTTGTTCAGTGCCCACTCTTATTGGAATCATGAAATAGCAAACGCCAATCTTTCAATCTGACTATTTTGATGATCCAGTGACTAATAACTTCGTGTTCTTAATGATATTTTTATCAGATTTATGCTTCCTTCTATTTTCGCCAACCTTCTTAATGACGTTCATGTTGGAGAGTGTATATCTTACTAAACAGTGGATACGTGAAACTACTACACTGAAAACTCAAAATTAACATATTTATAGAAATAGAATACGCCCACCAACTTGGACAAACTACGGAACTTGCAAAATACTGGGACCATTACCTTTCTGTGAATCATATGTTTACATATAATACCTTAGAAATTTTCATAAGCAGTGAAACTAAAGTTGCTGGAATTCATATCATTGACTGATGTAATTTTTAAAAGTTCTTAGTGAAGCGTAAGTCTTCATGTTGAGTGAGGTCAGTCTGTCAAGTGAAATTGATTGTTCAAGATTCAATGTGATATGGTTTAGTACTGGTTGAAGGGGTTCAACACCGATTGCAGTGGTTCAAATACAGCTACCCCTTGTCTTCATTTTAATCATCATATAACATATCATTATTTCCTTGAACCCAACTTCGCTTCTAATAATTTTGATTGCAGTCTTTCTATCTCTCCTTTTCTCATGTTTTTGTGTTGTGCCTTGATATGTTGATGTGAAGTGTGACAATTCAGATTGTTACGTAATAACACCTAGTCCTACTTCGATACTAACTGACTGGCTCCTCAGTTATCACTAGATTGTCACAGGGGGCGGCTCCCATACCCCGGTGGCTCAGTGGATAACGCTTTGGCGTTTGAATCAATGAATGCTGGCCTCAAGTCTCAGTGGGAACTACATCACTCACTGGGGTTAAGGTGCATCCAGCTAACAAGTCCTTAATAAAAGGAAAAGAGTGTCTTGGATTCCACTGCTAGTCTTCAAGACGAATATAACATCGTGAATATCTGGCAGTATTGAGGCGTCCACACAGGAACCCATCTACCAACAGAGGTCGAGCAATTCGACCTTGGATAGCAGCGGGAAATAACAAGTGATTGTTTTCCATAGCTGTCTTAAGCTGTTAAAAGTAATGGACTACACTTCTAAAACTTCTTCCCTGATAAATATCGACTTTTAGTATTTATCTGTCAACTTTTCTGCTGACTTCTAATCTTATCTTCAACTTTGAAAACATTCCCTCTTTTTACGGTTAATTTCTAATTTTAAGCTAACTTACACGTGAATGAGAGAAAAAGCATCGTATTTCACCTGCTCTGAATTGCACATGATAATTGTATCGACTGATAATGAAGTGGTATCACCTTACTGTCAATAATTTAGGAAAAAAAACTGTATTTGTATTTATTCATGTGACTGTAACATTTCGAAAAATTCATACGGCGCTTTTCAGTGTTTATTTTAACGAAAGTAAGTAGAACATGATTTACTTCATAACTTCTCTTTAGCTATTGTTGGACCTAAACATAAATGTAAAGGTAGTGTAGAGTGAAATTACTAGCATTATTATTCTTTAGAATAAAATAAACATATACAGTAGAGAATTAAAAAGGTATTGATAAAGTCTGTATATTTATAAGGGGTTATCAGGCAGATTTTGGAGTTGTAGCGCGGAGTGTAGTGATAACAACATATTTACTAAACAGAAACAAATTGTGGTTTGCTCCCTGGTTGTTAGTTTGTATATATGAAGCCAATCTTAACGCTTTACTACTCACAACATATAACACATTAAGAATATCCTTGCATAGTTCACAACGTTAGACGAAGTTATTGCTGAAAATGTCACCAATCTTGGGGATGGAACGTCTACAACAAAACACCAAAGCCTTAGAGAACACCAAACTACCATCATCCTCATTGTGAGCTACAAACCTTCTCCACGGTTTCAGCGTAATGTATTTTGTAGAAACAAATGGATACATGACTCAGGCCAACGAGTGTAGGCAACCTGACCACTTTATCATTAACACGAATGGTTGATGAGCATCTCAAAGTTTTATGCTAGTGATTAGCAGCCAGTCTCATCCTCCGGGCTTATTCTCATTTTTCTTTGATTGCAAACAAAAAGATGAGAAAAATAAAACGAACAAATAAGTGAAAAAAATAAAAACTGGATGCAATGATTAAGAAAAACAGTACACCAGCATGATGCTCACATCAGGTTCAAAGAGTATGATTGCCACTGATTCATCAAATCGGAATATCGTTGAAGTCTAGTACCAGTTCACTATTTTTAAAACTCGCGACTTATCTACGTCGTACCTTCGGTCAAATAAGAGTGAACAATTAAAACTGTAAACTAACAAGAATCATTAAATCACAGACTCTTCAGAAAATGGTCAGACAAATGTACACCTACCCTTCTCAGTGTTTTTCTGATATACTAGCTTTGACAAGTTTTGTGAATCCATTTCTTGCAGCACACTGAAGTTCAGTTGTTCGAAACCATTCACTGCAACCCCTAAGAAAACTACTTAGTTTAAAATTAGCAATCATTCAACAAACTGCTTCATTACCAGTTGACGTGACCTCTACAAAGTAAACCCTTTGTGTCTAAGTACAGTGGCTACAGTTGATTAGTTATTTAGAGACATGCAGTTAGCGGAATTCTACCTTGTCAGGTGACTCAATCTAACAGCAAACAGTAACCTGGTATTATACTGCCTCTAAAAGTGTTCAAGGCATAGGTGTGTCTTCAAATAGATCATGCCCACCAAACGTTAATATTCGACAACAGGCACATTGATAGTGATGTTAGTGAACTGAAAAGTAATATTATCACATAAAAAAGTGTGATTTAGATTATGGTAAACTCGAGTAATATTGGAGCCTAGGACTTATCTTGGTAAACAGTTCTTTAGTTCTACATTATTTATCTTCACTTTCTTGAAAATTCTTCGTGAATAGTATTTTCTACCTTACTGATATTGGGATTTGTTTATTGACTTCAGATTGGTAATAATCATGGACTGATATCACTTGAATAAACAATGAAAACCTGAGAGCGCTGGACAGCTCTTTGGGACTCCTCAGCAGTGCGTAACCACAACCCAGCCAGGGATCGAACCTAAGGCCTTCAGGTTCAACAATCAACGCGTTACCACTAAACCACCAAGTCGGAATCCGACAAATAAACTGCCACAGACCTCTAAATTGAATTAGTCTGCTGCTTTTTGATGAATAGTTTCAGCAGACGGTTCTTGAAGTTCCAATCAGAAGTCGTGACTGCTGGAGCCAACCAGGTAGAATATGAGAGCAGTTACTCAACCATGGCATTGTATGGAAGTCACGCTGTATCGTGAACTGATAGAAGTAGAAAATGTGAACCATCGGATTCCGACCCAATGGTTCAATCGTAACGTGCTGGCCACGGAACCTGAAGATCCTGGGTTCGGTCCCTGACGAGGTCATGGGCGCCCACTGCTGAGGAGACCCATAATAGGACGAAACAGTTCTCCAGTACTCCCAGATTTACAGTTTTTCTCCAGCCGATGTCAGTCCATGATGAATATCAGTCTGATACTTTGGTGTTACTACATTGAAAACTTGCTTCGCGACAGCACTTCCTGCGTACAATGTAAGACAGTTATCTGCCAAGTATGTGACCAGAAGCCGAATATCTTCTAGTTTACTGTAGTATAAACAAGTAGTGAGTTTTATCGCTCAAACTACAAATACGGCACGACCTCTGTATGGTTAGGGGCATGGTTTGATGATATTTTCAGAGTTTTTTTCTATTGACTACAAAAGTCAAAAGTCAAAGTTTCTTGTTTTTATGCGATAAAATTATACTACCTAGTAACGTCTTTTTAAACCTGTGAGTAGTAGACCTGCTTTTTACTGACATGTTTACAATTTTTCTTCTTTTCAACTACAGCCTATCGGTGTTTCATGTTAGGATCAGTTGATACGCCTCAGTGGAATAATGAACTTTGTTTCTCAAGAGCAGTAGATCAGTTGATTCCATTGGAAACATTAACAGCATCTGAATGTGACCATGGTATTAGTCGTGTTCGATATTCAGATATTCAATTGCATGTTAGTGCACATGATGGTATCACGATTATTGATCTGTTAAGACGTCTATTTCTTCGACGACACCTTCCTAACAATGTATTATTACATTGTGGAGTAGAATCTCGAAAGAAGGAGTAAGTCATACTTTTGCGAGTTTCATTCATGGTAATATGATATATTTTCTCTTAATTCACTTGTTTCACATACTTACAGTACATTTTCAATGGCCATGACTTTTAGCTGTTTAATCATTGACACTTAATCTAAGTGACAAACAACTGGAGTAGAGGGATATAAATGTTCTGCAAAAGACTCACTTTGAAGTAATGACCTCTAATCTCTTGCACTAAGACAAATGCAGCATATACAGAGGTGCAGATTACCACGAATAATTTAACCTCTGGACTGGAAGAACTAGAGTGAATTTGAAAATGAAACTGACTCTCCCAGTTTTCGATGCTTTTCCGTTTGATAAATTCCAAAATGAAAGAAATAGAATGTTACGTCAATATAACAAATGCCTTAGATCAGCCACTATTATGAACAACTGGATAATCAACGATGGTCAGAAGTGAGATCTAGAGTTCAGTAGTCATCTTATTGAGTATTCGTCCCCACCAAAATTCAAGTCAGGCATTCATAGATTAAAATTTGTGGCAAAGTTGTTCACCAAGTCACTGTACCAGGATACTAATTTAATGTACAAGTTGTTTTGCGACATACTGGACCAAAACATGCATAACCACCTATCCTACACTCTATTCTTGATGGTTTTTCGGTACTTTCAGAATGTATTCAATAACGGTACTGCAACATCTTCACAGGGAATCTAGGTCCCGATGTAACTAATTGAACTAGGTTAGATAAATTGGCAATGAAGAATTAGTACTAACAGTGATATGAAGTATACAGTTTCTCACTGTGTGTCACGAGGCCTAGCGACTAGACTTCATCCAATTAAATTTATTCAACTGAAGCATTAGATCAATAGCTCCATGTGTTCTGCATCTGGATATTATGAAATGAAGCCATTTTTCATCCAATCTGTAATAGGAGAAAAGTGCAGAACAATGGATCCTGATAATTGCAAAATATCGTTAGAATATTAAAAATCAATAATTATTATAGACCACTTCATGATAAAAATTTTCTGATTAGTGATCCATGCATAAAAACCGAAATAATTTCAAAACCTTCACCACGTTACGCCAAACACAATGCTGGATGCTGAGGCATAACTTGTATAGGAAAACGCATTGATTCCCCCCGTTTATTTGGACAGAAGTGAATAATTTGTCATGAGATACGTTGTAAAGTCACATAAAAATGAAGTAAATTCTTTTCATTTTTGAATAATTAACACTTCAGACCACTTTTTGTCTGGTAATATGCTAATGTCGTCATTTGCCTTTTACAGAGTATCGATTTTTGTTCTTTTCTAATTAACTACAGATTTATTCACCCTGAACATCAGAATCTTGGCATACGTAATCCAAAGTAAGTTGACCTTGCATTTTTCTAATGATGAAATGAAACTAATAAGAATGTGGAACCACTTGGAAATCACTAGCGTAACTGTGCTGTGTGTCAGATAGTTAAAGGGCTATCTAATCTGAATATAGTAGTAGTGATATAAACTAATCATGCTTGGATGCTTTTACTTAAGTACTGTGAAAATATTCTCAGGTTTTATCATGTGCTTCTTAATTTGTTAAAAACTACCCTGAAACTATATATGGCCACACTGATAATCTTATGAAATAATGTTAAAATGCTTTTACTAATTGTGGTCAGGATGCTGCTGATGGGATCGCTCAGTATTTGTTTTAAAAAACTGTGAGGATTTCCCTGAGAAAAATAAAAGGGAGACCATGAATATTGGTGAATTGTTAGACTGCTAAATTTACATGTTGACGCAGTCTCAGCTCAGATACACAGGGCCCACTTGATATTTGCCAGCTTGCATCATCTCTGATGGGACATATGCATACCTATCAATGGATGAGTGTACTGAACTGCAGTCCACTGTGTCCTTTTATTCACCCATGAAATATGACAGCTGGAAGTAGAAGATTTGAAAAGGCTAAAGTCTTTCGAGCACAGTTGTCTTCACAGTATTGCTCATGTATCATGGAATCATCCTGTCAGCAATATAGGAGTTCGGCGAAGAGTAATAGGCGAAGAAGTTTTAGATAGGTGTGGTGGATGCCAAGCAGCCACCTAATTGATTGTGCAATGTTACCTGGTGTAGGACTGCCATGAAAAAAAAAAGGCTCATGGTAGCTAGACCAACATCCATTACCACTCCATTAAGTCACTGTCTGTTGTTCTGAGCGGCTGAGGTAGCTATGGGTTGCCAGTCTAGGGTCCTGGCGATAAAATGAATCAATGATTGAAGAACCTTGGTGATGTAGCTTAAAATTGGTCACAACAGCGCAAATGTATTCACTCCTTGACATCTTCTAATGCTTGAGGGCTTTTACAGACCTTTGTTTTTCAAGTTATTTTCCCGGGCGTGCACTTCTGTAAACTGTAACGTCGCTCTTTATCTAACTGCCTTTTTTGTATGATGCTGTGAAATGTGGTGACTTCATTCGATTCATTTACATGCGAGGTTCTATGTTGTTGCTGGTTTTTTTCTCTTTCTAAGTAGGTATTAAGAGTTCTTCAAAGAAATCTTAACATCATCCATGGTCAGTGTCCTATGTTTACCAAGCTCATTAGGCTAACTGGGATTTCATAACTCTTGTTGTAATCATACAAAACGGAACTTTATTTTTTTCATAGATGATATAAGAGTATATCTTAGTGAACACAGAGGGCAACTGTTTGTCTCAGAAACCATTTGAAGACTGTCTCACCTTACATTTTGGCCAGAAAGCTAATCCAACTTTTTATTCCCTCCACAATCATCCAACAGGTTGGGTTTCTATTCCTATGTCTTCTGATAAAAAATCTATCTATTTAGGAACCCTTTGAAATTTCTTCAACATCCTTAGAGTTTCTCCAAGTCACTCAATATGAAGATATAATCTAGTATTGCTGGTCATCCATGAGATGCGGCTCATCGGCCTAGGCACTTTGTTTCAAACCAACGAGTCACAGTTTCGAACCAAGCTCCACCCACCGGGGTTTGAACCCTTATATCAACCTATCAACATGCAACGCTTCAACACGAAAGACAGAGAACCAGAAAAACAATGGATTCAGAAATCCTCCGACGTCTTGAGAAGAGAAGAAAAGGGAGTCAAGCAAATAAAGCATTGTGATATGATGATTAAAGATAATTTTTAGATGCATCTGCGCCATCGAAGTCGTTTCTTAACCATATCGCCTAAAGTTTTCATAAACTGCTTTTGTTGTTACTTGGACACTAACCTTGGAGATTATACCATCCTAAAGGTCTCCAACCAACAGTCAGAGAATTGATGAACGGATGCCATGCTTTTAACCTTTTGCTAGTCTAAACTTATTTCACCTGGTGTTGTATGCCGGAATAAATGGTGACCAAGAATGCGTAATACATATCTGAGACTTAAGTAGGTGAGAGTTTGCAAAGGCATCAAATAAGTCCATGTTTCTAACCTCAACGTTGCCAACATGATGGTTCGACAACACACAAACAATGCTAGGAGGGCAATGATGGTTGGACACTGGAAACCTTATTTCCTTCACCCTTGATGCCATAAGTCGCAGTCATAGAATTGAACAGACGAACAGTCGAACAGGATAAAATTCTAGTGACAAATATAACATTGAGGGATATCGGTGAAGTTTGTCGATTACACATCAAAAAAACAAGAAATTTGGAGTAAACATGACACTGACAACGATGTTTTCTCTGAATACTTTTCAACCTGTTAGTAACACCAGTTGAGTGAACTATGATAGTAGCTAAGCACACAAATACGAAATGAAATCCAATTGAAGACTTAAGTATAATCTGTTGAAATCAACTTTTCAGAAAAACCAGCACTTCTTTTTTATGAAACACAAGATATCCATGATCCATGGATCATATATTTTTAATGTTGACAATAATAAAGAAAAAGTCATTATTCTCAAGACTAGAGGCTTCATTAGATGTTGGGCTACCAGAAACTTTCTGTTGAATGTGTGATATTAAATTTCTCCTTTTGGACTTGTTTCAATCATTCAAATGTTATAAAATAGTATTATTTAAATGTTTTAAACTTATCATTTTTTCAGTTAATGATGAAATTCAAAGAAAACAATAAGATAGATAAAAATGGGCGCTTGAATACACAATAATATATCATTTAACTACTCTTGGAATAGTCATGTCGAACTATAGATTTTCATGTTAGCTGAATGAATTGCCGCCACCATCACCATTAAAAATACACACACACACATACTTATATTCGTCACCCTGCCCCAATAACATACCTAAAAACCACGTGACAACTTAACAACAAACGGTTTCCACATATTACTACTTAAAATTGAATTCCTGCTAAAATTACTCAGATGTTGTAAACATTTCATTTGAAAATATTGTACGTGGAGTAAATTTATTAAGATATTGCATAGTAAGAATTCTATGCTGCATAGAACTTAACGTCCGGAATAAAGTGATTATTATTTGTGTAACTACTATTGCTAAATAGAGACGCGATAATGATGGACTATAAAGTCTTGTGAGCTACCTATCAATATCCTAGGACATATCTTGACTTAAAACTCAAAGAAATTGAATAAATTAGTCGTCTGTGAAGCATAAGACACAAGGACCTTAGTAAACGTATCAAAAGGATGAAATATCGGTATCAAATAAGTAAATGTTTCTATTTCGTATAAACAACATGATGGGAGCCAATTAATAAGCTTTATTAAAAGTTCATAGTGTTGTGCAGGCCTAGTTATCAACCAAATATCGATATCGTCCCCCCTAATAATAATTCAACAAAACTAATTCCATTCCCTAAATTAGTCAGTCATATGACCAAGATATTAACCGTATAAGTCTTCAAAAGGTTATTTTGTAATTTTGGCTTAAATATATGTATTTATTTTAATAACTACTTGAAGAAATATTATAAAAATTGATTGATTTCAATAGTGATTATTATATCCATATGATAATCAATAAATGAGTAAATAATGTTATAATTATTGATCAGTTTGTACAATATAATAATCAATTGTATTTATTTTGTATTGTTTTTTTTATCATATTTATCACATAGAATCTTTGGATTAGTTGTTCGCAAAGGAATCAGTGAATGTACATGTCATATATTTTCAGAATGTGATCCAGTTCATTCAGCTGAATCTATTGTCAAGTATATACGAAGTACTTATCCTCATTTGAAGCCCTAAATTGAAACAGAACTAATGAATAGACAAATATTATCATCATTATTACTATTACTACCTATCTGTTTATCCTATTTATGAAAATATTATCATGATAAATAAGTCAATGAAAAAATATCATATATCTGTCTTCTTTCCTTCTTATTGAAAATTATTCCTTCAATCCCCCAAAACCTTTTCATTGTCATCATCTTCATCATTGTTACTTCATTATAGCATCATGAATCGGTTGTTCAATAGAGAAATGGATGCATGCACTTAAACTGTTTACCTTTAATCGTTTAAGTTCTGTATTCTCAATGATCTATTGAAAATTATTCGAAAAAAACAGTTAACTTTTTCTACTACACTGAAGAAGGATACTAAGATGCAAAACTTAATTGCGTTGTGTATGCAATATTGTGTCAAATTTATTCCATCTTTATACAATTGTTGTTTTTTGTAGTTCGCTTACTCATATGCCTTTTTTTCGTTTTCAAGTTTACTTACATACTACGCAATTAAGTTTCCTTTTTCTTTATCAAGAGTTTTATTGTTGCTGTTATTGTCATTGTTTTGACTTTCTGCTTTTCAAAAGTCCAACACCTTTCACACTTTATTGTTTCAACAGTTTTAATGGTTAAGAGAGATTTAATGTTTCGAATTTATCATGATCAGCAAAAAAGTCAACTAGAAATTTATTTATCTGACTTGAATTTGATTGATTAATACATTGTCTTTTACTATATTTGACGTATCTACCGATGATATACCGCTGGTATTGTTTTAGTTGATGATTGTTTTTAGTGTTGTTACTGTCCACTTCACTTTGCCTTTTTATCTAAGCAATTTCATTGGTGCGTTTCTGTTGTTGTGCAATTGACGCTACTATTAAGAAAAATATATACTTATTTACTCGTGTGGATATGAACGTTTTTTATTCAATCTTTTATTCAATAATACCGAAAACTCTACAACAATATTCAAAATATCATGTATTCTAAAGTATTTTGTCTGCAAGGATTTGGTGGTGCATAGCCAGAGTAGATTTTTTCTATATGTCTCTTTCTGTTGTATCCGACAGTAAATTAGAAACTCCTTAAACTTGAGAATTTATGTGAATCTATGTACGTATTTATTATGTGTATGAATGAATAAATGTAGGACTACAACTCAGCCTACAATTTTTTTCTATTTCCCGTGTTACTAATAAGTAGTATGATTGTTTTAGATAAAAGTATGCTGATAAATTCAATTAGAGCTGGTTGTTAGTTTATATGTTCCCATGGATAAATTAATGTGTAAATTCATCCCGGATTATCAGGTAAATTGTTTAAATAACTTCAATAAAGGAAAATTAACTTCTGTGGTCTAATTTCCTGTTTTTCTAATAATAATTTGAAGCTCAAATGGTTTATGTGATTCCTGATGATTCCTGAATTAGAGATCACCTTAAGACGGAAAACCAACAAACAACTGTGGGTGAAAAGAAATTGCTGACACTCCAACCCTTGCTTAACGGTTGAAGGGTTAAGTGTTAGATGAATAATCAAGTACTGCTGACAGTGAGGTTATGTAGCTGAAAGTGATGTCTGTGCATATAAGCAACACTGTGACGAAAATCGTATACACTGCTCTTTAGTTTTCTTCAAAAAACTTTAGCACATTCTCGTTATTTTTTCATCGAACTATCATACAGAATGGCGACTGAATTGATTCGCTGTATTTAATTTACGAAGGATGATTCTATTATATTCACAGATCTATGGAGTTACAACTCATCGTAACCTCCCAGAAAAGTAGTGGTAATCAATCCCGCCAGATGCTGAACTTAGGATAGTGAGTTTAGCTTGCTTAGTATATAACCGAAAGTGTTGAGAGCTAGTTATACACACACACACACATATGGTAGGAAGTCAGTTTTACTACTGTCTGCTAACAAAGTAGGCCTTGGAAAGAATTTCAAGACGGATCATCGATTGCTGATCTCCCATATTTCGGCTTCATGTAAATTTGGTAACAATTTATAAATTGCATTTCTGAGGCCATAGTTGAAGTTGCCATTGCTTAAATTTTCAAAGTGACACCTTAAAAAGATAATTTACTGAAGAAAAGAAAGGAACAGGCAACATAAGGAACATGTTCAACCGATTGAATAGTAAAATATACTTCTGCACAAAAACCGAAACAGTTTTCCTTTATTAACGCACCACTTTTTCTGGCGTTTAACAGATACATATTAGCTTCTCAAACTATTCATCTGCCAATGCATGATAACAGGGAGGTTATTAACCAGTTTGAAATGAGTACATTTGTACAGTTTGTCCTCCAAATAAGTATATGTTCGTCTAAACGGTGTTTAATACTTCAGGTCAATTACCAACAGGAATCACTGTAATTAGGCTTCAAACCCTTATCATTCAGCTAAAATAGCTGTAACTTTTGCACCAAGTAAAATTAACTTGATCCTTTGGGTGGAGGGAAGTATTTCTGAGGTTCCAAAGGAAACTCCTTGACGAGTGGTATCAGTAGAGGACTAAGGTTCATGTTTGTTACCAAGTACCTTCAACCATACCATTCAAAACACGGAGCAATGCAACTTGAATAACTTAACTGAGTGGCAGAACTGCAAATTTAATCTTAGACTTCTGTCGCCACTTACAATAAAAGTGACTTATTTTTGTTAGTTCTCAACAGTACAGAATTTTTGATACTTGGCCTGAAAGTTACCATTGTTTAAACTGCTTATGATGGCAACCTGTAGAACTTCATCAAACATTTTGGTCACCTACAAACTCACCGTTATTCATCGAGATACATACTTCAGTATTCATTGAAGGACAGTCATATGAAAATAATTACACAAATACTCCTCAAAAACTTAGCTCAGTATCACTTTCATAATAGTATACTCTGAAGAGAGAAAAATGTAACTACTGAAGACAAAACGAGTGTAACAAAGTATACGAAGTATCATTCTCATTTGTTCTTCTCTCTTTAGAACTATTAGATAACCAAGTTATGTATAGGATAAGTTTGAATTATCTTTATGCAAATAAATGTTCAGTTATTGAAATGCCAAAGTAGACAACTGAATTCAGTAAATGACGTTCCTAGTGCAAAGTTGCTTGTTCGAAAACTGACTAATTTTTTTAGAAGTAGTATTCATCATGGACTGACATCCGTTGGGGAATCATCGAAAATCCGGGAGCACTGGACAGCTGTTTCGTCCTAGTATGGGAATTCTACCGAACTAAACAACACCTACAGTTATACACTATGTGGAACGTATTTATTCTTCACACTCAGTCAGCCAGTAGAATTGCATAGGCTATTTGTACCGTGGTTATTGGTTAATTTCCCAAACTTTGTAAAGTCTCAAAAACTGTTCCCTTTGCCTCAGAGAACCCTATCTTTAACATTTTGAAACAAATAATATGTTTCGGGTATAAGCAGCAAATACTTGAATCCCTCCATATTCCTATGAGATATGCAAACATAGTGTGGATCAAAAGTAATGCTAATTAATGTATAACCTATCATACAAATCTAAAGAAAACCAGTAAGTTCAGTTTGCATAATTTACCACTTTGCACACGTATTTCCGAATCTGTCTGCTTAAATTAACTTGAAATACGGAAACAAAATTGTAGTATCATGTGATAAGTTTTGAAATAATGAATGATACGTCGTATCCAACTATTGATAAGCATAAGGACAAATGAACGTAACCCATTAAAGTCTATCCCACGAACTACTACAGAATAGTAAAATGGAAAAAAAATGAAATCGTGAAAATTAATTGTCATTCAGCTTCAACAATGACTAATCAACACGAAATAAAACTACTCAATATTATAGAATCCAAACTGTTACGGCGTCCACTATGGTTAACCAGACGCTTCAAAACAACTCAAAATCTCTGACATCTTTTAAAACTAAATAGCATACTTTGATGTTTAGAGTAAAAATCCGTTAATATACCCGAAAATATCGGATTGATTTAAGAGACAAGACGAATAGAAAATGACCTTCCAGAGAGGCTCAGAATTAACTAAAGCTACCATGAATACTTTTCGTCTTTTGTAAGCATTTTGATATCACATTACACTTGTTGGCATCTAATGTTTTCTATTTCTCAGGGGTTGCGTGACCTTAAAACATAGAGTTTGAAGGTTGTTCTTCAGACATCTACAGGCATATATCACGTGACATTGAAAATCAATATAACAGCAAGCACTCTTGAGCAACGTGTTTAGCTGGCGGCTTCTGTGAGACTAGTTGAAATACATCAGGATATTCAGCTTGAGAATTATGGGAATTTACTTCAAGGAAGTATTCATCAAGGAATGACACCAGTTGGAGAACCATTAACAATATGAGAGCACTGAACAGCTGTTTCGTCTTAGTATGGAACTCCTCATAAATTGTCACCTACAATCCCACCCTGCCTGGGATAGAACCCGGGGCGTTGGGGTACCACAGCGAGCACCTTACTACTAAGCCAGTGGGTTGGATGGAGTACAGCAGTTCACAGTTTCCTAATTCTGTTGATTGGTGATATGAAGAGGCCATCTTCCAATATTTGCTGTTGGCATCCGCTTCTCTTCCGACTGGTTGACTCCACAGGAATGGTTAACACGAAGTCACCGCAAAAACTGAAGGTTTTGGAGATGTGGGTGCACACTGTCGACCAGTTCCATACTAGGACTAAACAGCTGTCCACTCTATGGTTTTCAATGATTCTCCAACTAAGGTTTGTTTTTGATGAATACTAACTATCTTGAAATCAGGATACTAACAGACGATAACATAAATGTATTACTGATGACTAACGCAAGAGAATGGGTGCAACAATAAATAAAATCGGCCTATAAATAACCTCTAGATACTTAATAAGCCTACATTCATATTAAAATAAATTTGGTCCTGACTGTTAAGTGTACGTACACATAATAAGGCGATAAATCACTGAAAGAGGCATTATTGAAAAATGGATTGGCAGTCTTGCATATCTTAGTAGAATCACTTAATAATATGTACAACTCAGTAATGACATTCAAGAGAAATGAAGACGGAAATGAACAAGCTGTATACTTGATAAATGTCTCACCAATCGTAGTACAATAAACAAACATCTCAGTTATCACAGTAAGTTTACAGGGTGAATAAGGTTTTCAGAAGAGTTTCTTCAATAAAAAACTGTGTGATCTATTATCGTATGTTTTCCTTCGATTAACGAGTATTATATTATATTGATGACTGTAGACACTACTTAAAGATTTATTCAGTTACTATGACTACACGTATCTTTTATGCGATTGACATATTGCTTCACTCCTTATTACTGTGACACAACTGGTAAGTATGAAGCGACTTATGCACACGTTTTCAAAAATTTTCTCCCAATGTTTTGAGCACATAGAAATTCATGCATTAAGACGTACTGAATAGATATTTAAGTAATAGCTTAGAGTATAAATTAATTCTGCTGACAACAAGGTAATACAGGTAGTTGCATGTCAACACACATAAGAATCCATTAGTATATGTTGGTGGCTATAATTTTTTATTTAACTGACGTACAGTTGATAAGTAGGAATGGAGCAAGAGGGCGCAGTTTTCACTAAGTAGGATGATCATCAGCCATTTTGTAAAAGTATTTCACCTCCAAGAGTCAACAGAAATAAAACAATTGAAAGTGAAAAAAAACTAAGCACAGGCTGAGATTCAGCAATCACTAAAAAATACATGATCTGTCTATTTTCATGCCCATAAATAGGGTTACTCAAACTGATATACAAATAAGGATATTATTATTATTATATTATGATTTGTACCTTTGGTTCCTAGTGGAACATATGGCTTCAGTAGCACATCTCCATTGCACTCTCTTCTCTGCAAACTTTTAAACCCGGCTCCATGACAGCCCACAAGCTCTCATTTCTTCCTCACACCATCCACTTCATATCACCCTCGCCTCATACTCCCAACTCGCCGTTTCACATCTGGGTTCCACTCGAGAGACTGGCCTGGAGCGTGATGTCCCCGAATGGTATTCTCAGTGCATGCCCAATCCATCTCCACTTCCTTCCAGTGCATATTTGTTGAGCGATAGTTTCTTGGTTGGTTCTTTCCCAGAGTTTCTTCATGCTCATTATTTCTGGCAATCCATTTGATCTTCAGTAACGAGCCAGCGTAGGCAGCTGTTGATGAATGTCTGTAGTTTGTTGCAGATCCCTTTCCTAACGAGCCAAGTCTCTAAACCACACAGAAGCACTGACTTGACGTTGGTGTTGTAAATCCGGATCTTGTTCACACTTTATGTTGAGTGCAATAGATCTCCACACTGGTTTCAGGTTAATGAACGCCT